AGGGAACATCTCTTTCCCTGTTCCCCAAAGTAAAAGAGATGTTCCCTAAAGTAACAGAAATGTTCCCAAAGTAACAGGAATGTTCCCTAAATGTAACATGAGTGTAACACTCATGTTACTTCAAAGCAACATACGTTTTTCATGAAAGCAGGGCTATATTCACACAGCAAGCAAATGTGACCCAAAGCTGATCTTTTTGGGCATATAAATCTTATATCTGACTTCATCTGTATAGCATTAAGTTTTTTTTTTTTTTTTTTTGGTCTAAAAGAAAACCCGATTTTAACCACTTCACTATATGGCACTAAATTGTATATATACCCTGATAGTTTCCCAGGCTCCTGCTGTGAATGCTTTTATCTGACCTTTACCTCATTGCCCTGGCTGCCACTATACATCCACACAGACTTCTCTGCAGTGGCAGGCTATTACTACTCCAATAAAGACTGCCGTTGGTGTTCCTATCTTCCTTCTCCTTGTTTACAATATGTTCATTATACTTTAACACAGAGATAGTTGTATCGACTTTTACTTTTTATTTCGTCTGTCTTTTCCTTTAACTCCAATTTTTTGAATGCATCCATTGCATCCATTTTTAATCGCCGCTGTTTTGTGACATCTAAATTCTATCTTTGTTACCTGAACTGTTCACACAGAAGTATAATGGGGTGTTGCATCTAGTTAACAGTATAAAAGATGACATAAAAAAATTGGAGGACAGAAAAAAGAAAATATGAATTGAGCATAAAGATCTGCTGTGTAAACATAGCTTAACCAATAGGTTTAGGCCTTTAAAAGTCACTGGAAAGTTAGTCGGTTTCTTGTTGGAACACTGCAAGTTCTAAGGTCACGTTACCAACATTAATATAATTATGTTGACCTTATTATTTGTTTATACGGTACATTGGAAGCTGTAAGCACTATGAAGAATTTAAAAGCTGTAAACCAAAGTTGTTAGACCAGCTTCTGCAAGCATAACCCATCCTTCTTTTCACCCTCCTCTCTTTCTTCCTGCCCAGAGATCGGCCCTGCCTCTGTGATGGTGGGGAATCTCGTGTCGGGGAAGAGGATCGCTCAGGCCAGCGGCAGGGACCTGGGTCAGATCGAAGACAATGACCAGGCAAGGAAGGTGTGTGTGTGAGGGGGCGCTGCTGGTTTTCATCACAAACACCACACATCATATTAAGCACCAGTCACGTTATGCTAACCTTCATTACCTTAATGCCACTATTTGTTCAATTCACCTCTGCATCTCATCACAGTCATCATCATTTCTAAATATATAAGTAAAAGCTGGCTTTGGTGAGAAATTATGGAGGAAATAGGCAGGAAAAATGTAAAATAAGAGTAGCATCAAAATTGATAAAATCACCAGTGAGAGGTTGGAAGGAGAAATAATAAAGACAGGAAGTCAGATGAGGCTTGATGGATTGCAGGTGGTGGTGTTTGTCGCTGACGGAAGTGATTTTCTCCTTGTCCCTCATAATGCAGAAATGCCATCAGTTACAGCTTGAGATTCCCTGCAGCAAAACACATTCAGTAGACTCTAATGAGAAGTGACACGACCCAAAATACAAACAAGCTGCCGTCACGCCGCTCGCCTCCGTGTTTGTTCAGAAAGCTGATGTTAAGGAGATTTAGTCCTACCAAAAACACAGGGTGCACGCTTCTCTACTGCGATCACACTGCAGATTCACCAGACATGAAGTGGAACAAAAATACTCACAGTTCTGGTTGATCTAGAGAGCCCTGGGTGAGAATGGAGAGAACAACATGGGAAAATAGATTTATGTCCAGACTGTACCTCCAACCATTCTTCCATCTGTCTTTGCATGTTAAAGCAGGAATCCTGTAGATTTTTCTTCCATATATTCAGTGTAAACGTCTAATTTTACTCATTAAAGAAATACTAGAAGGAATTGAGAGCTGTGGACATCCTGACCTGGATATGGAATATGGAATCTCAATATGAAAATCTGCCCTTAGCTGCTAAACAAACAGTTATTTTCATGTGTTTAGGTTAAATTCTAAACCAATGATGGTCGATATAAAGCAGCCTTTAGTAGAATCAGGAAAATGTTTTAGTTTTGTTTTCTCTTTCAGCAGAAATAGAAAAGATATGCAGATGCTTCTGGAAATAAATCAACTTGCAATATTAAATCTTACAAAATGATGTTTCGGGAGAAAAAAAATGCAGATCAGATGTTTAATGCTCTGATTTGCTTAATCAGGGTTCCTGCAGATCCCTAAAAAGTCTTAAAAGGCATCGAATTCTTCACTATTAAAATGAGGCCTTAATTGCAATTAAAATGTCTCAAGTCAGTCTTTCCTAAATCTTAAAATTGTCATCAAGTCATAAATAGGATTTTATTTTCATAATTTATATAAAAAATTTGAAAAGTTCATGATTATTTTTTTTATATTTACTGAACAGCTTAGCTGTAACCGTTATTAGTGCCATCTTGATAGAAGAACCAATAAAAACGATGTTGCAAACAGACCTTGGGGGTGATGCACCAATAACTTTTTATCAGGACAAAGTGGGGAAGTGTAAATTCGATGAAAATTGGCGATCCAGCAGAGAGTTTTCTGCATGGCTAAAAACAGTCCCAGGTGATATATATATGAGGAACGGCGTATTTTGAGCAAGAAACCATTCCAGCTCGGCACGATGGGAATCAAAGCTGTGGAGTCAGACATGTAAAGAGTGAAAAACAAAGCGCCAAATTAAAGTTACAGAGAATTTGATTATTTCTCCCTATTTCTCAGTTCTGTTCCACCCTTGTCTCTGCAAGGCCTCTACAGCCATCTCTGAGGTCAAAAAAAGCTCCAGTAGCACCAAATCTCCGGATAATTTTTGGTGGTTCACCTATAATAAAAGCAGAGCTATTATGGACTTTGAGTAGGGATCAAAACAACGTTTGTGAATTCCCTTCATTAGTTGTTAAAATATATCTGTTATTAGTGTGTTTTTAGCTTTCTTCCTATATGGAAAGTTTCTCAAAAGTGTAAACATTTCTACTGGGCTATAAAGTTATGGTTCATTCTAAAATAAGCATCAGGTTAAATTTGTTGCAACCAGGTTTTCTTGTGTTTATTGGGAAGTTGGGCTTAAAGTTTTATTTCAAGGGACAAAAAAAGTCTTGAATTTAACTTGCCTTATGTTGTAGGAATCCTGTTTGTGTTTAATAATAAGGTCCAGTCTACATATTATCTAAAACAAGACATGAAAAGCAAAAGGTTCTTTTTTCACTTCTCTCTGTGGAAGCAGAAATTTTCACACAAAGCTCAGCTATCTTTAATTTTAATTTAATTATAGGAGCATTTAATTCTTCGTGATGTTTTTTTTTAATCCTTGTGTCATAATAAAAAAATGTTTCGAGATGTTTCTCAGCTTGTGCTATGATGCTCTTCTCATGAGGAAGGAACGTCAGATTTTTTCATTCTTCCTGCTGCTTCTCATCATCTGCTCCTTCACCTCCTCATGTCCTTCCACTGATTCAGTCATTGTTTTTAGCTTCATCTTCATTCCAATGAAAACCAGGCCCTCTGTGTGGATGAGCTCGCCTTTACTCCCCCTTAAATCCTTGATGCCCATAGTTGCTAAGATGCAACCAACCCTTTATGTTATGTACATAAGCCAATATAGCATGACTATTCCCTCACTATTACACATTCATTGTGGACCTAGGAACCTTTGACAAGCTCTTGTTTCCGTTACAACTGGTTTTCTAATGGTGTATGTTATCACTGACCGTTATAAACGTTGTCACAGATTTCTAATATACATACATTTCTATTTATTTTGAAATAAATGCAGCTTAGAAATTTCAATTTGACAACTACTTAGGGGCAAAACGTTTATTTGTATATAAAACCAAGCATTAATAGATTAATTTTTTCTTCAGGTAAAATAAAGTTAATAATATCCTGGGTTAACTATAATGATAAATACTACCACGTTTTTTGCTCCATATTGGTCTGAATTATGAGGTTAGATGGAGAAAGCATTTTCTCTAAACAGTGGGTGTTAAAGCATGGAGCAGGAATCTGGGAACAGACTTCAGGTTCCTGTTTTAACGTTTAAAGTATTTCAGAGTCGGAATGACAGAGAGTAGAGTGATGTTTTCATCTGCAAAGGAAATATAGGTTCCAGAAGTTGGACTCAGAAAGCCGACTTTATAATGACAAAACAGGAAACCATTTGGAGTGATGTGCTGAACAGGCAGACGACTTGGTGCAGAGCTCCTGAGCTGCACAGCTGCTCTGATTAAAATGTGCAATAAAGAAAGATTAGCCTGGTGATGGATTATATTAAACAGGGAAGGGGTAACATTAATTAAAGCGATGGATGTATTGTTTCAAATGAGCAGAGCTTCGACATTGAATGGTTTTAACCAGCCAGACTTTCTGCTAGTTGCGTTTTATAGATGAAGCGTCCTCGTTTGACGTTGCGTTTCAGATTCCATACGGTTCTGACCTTAGGGTTGATTGTTTGCTATGGGTCCAGCCTTATCCGCCTCTACTGTGACTGGCAGCCGGAAAAAAAAACCCCAACCCCAAACGATCATTTTTAAAGGGATTTCTCTGGTGGAACTGGGATAAATTATACTTGGCAGCAATTCCTGAAAGATTCATGAGACGCAAAACTTCTTCTTCCCTCCGTTCTATGGACCATTTCTCTTTTTCTCTCTCCTCCAGAAACACCACGTTTTATATTCCTCTGTGCTGTTAATTTCCAAACTGAATCAGTAATTCTCTGAAGCCTTGTCAGAAGATTCAGTCCACAAAATGTAAAAAGGTTTCTCAGAAACCGCAGTAGACGGAGGCACAGTGGTGACATTTCAAAGTGATTGTCCAGCTGAGGAAATGTCACCATATGAAGAATTTATTAGATTAAATAATGGCGCAGACGTTCCTGCCTCCTCCTGGTCCATTTCCCTGTCAGCCTGGAGAGAAGCTCAGCAGGGTTCTGCCTGATTACCCATCTGAAGAAAACGTCTACTTTTTATTCTGCTCTCTAAAAGCTCCCTGCAGACAAACAAATCTCTGGAAATCTATTTCTCTTTTTCAGTTTTTACTTCTTTTTTTTTGTGACGCTGAAATGTTTGATGTCAAATATAATCAGAGTAAATAAAGAAACAGTTTTCATTCCATTCAATGAAGCTGCCCAAACCTACCTAATGCTGGAAAAAGCAGACGTTGACCCTCAGTTAACCAAACACGGTGGTGGTAATATGATGGTGTGGAGCTGCTTTGGGATCTGATCGACCAAATGTTTCCATAGAAGCAGGATTTCTGCTCCCTGGCAGAAATTCCCCAACAGGAAGATCCAGAAATTCCTCTAATTTAGAGTTTTTTTCACCTCCTTCATATTTTTAAGCACTCCAGCAGAGATGGATCTGATCATTTTCCAAAAAGAATGTTTTTCAGTTAAAGTCCAGAATTACAGTAGATCTGATTGAGAAGTGTGGGAGGACTGTAAACATGCAGTGAGTGAATAAATTAAATAAAAGTGCTTAATGGGTCGTTGCTTTATCTTTCATGTGGGAAAGTTGTTTTTTTTTGAGTGTTTTCATTTGAATAAATTGAATAATTATGTGGGATTTCTTTTATTATATGTTTATTTTTGTCTGTTACTAAAGTCAATTATATCTGAAACATTTTCACTTTATTCAATTTTTTTTTTTTTTTTTTAAATAAGCTGCTGCTGTCACTCAGTAGTCTTTGGTTTGCAGTTTGTTTTTCTATAGAGACAGTTGATAACAATAGATTTCTATGTTTTTTATTTATTTTTTAGTTCCTCTTCCTGTCGGAGGTGTTGCAGTGGAGAGCGCAGACAACCCCGGACCACGTCCTTTACACACTTCTTAACTCCAGGGTAAAAATATTATTGAGCATCAGTGGGGAATAATTTGATGGAATCTGTATTTACTATTTGTCTCACTCTTCTAAATTAAAATTGTAAAAAGGTTTAGTTTGCTTGTGAAGACATCCATCACCTCTCTTTCTGACCTGCAGGGGGCGATAGCCAGCTCTTTGACTTGCGTTCAGCTGCATAAGAGAGCAGAGAAGATCGCTGCTGTGCTGGGCGAACGGGCCCACCTGCAGGACGGAGACCACGTCGCACTGGTTTACCCTCCAGGTGAACTCAGCATCTTTTTATTTTGTGAATAATTACCAAAAAGATATCTGTGAAATTAAAAACTGGTTATTAACATGTTCTAACACCGATCTTTAAAGTAGAAATAATAAATTAGTTGCTGTTAATGCAGAAAAGAGCCACTGGAAGTCACTGGAAGGTCCATTTCTAAAACAAGTGTTTTTTTCTAGTAGTCTAGTCGAAGTCCAGAAATTCAAATGAAAAGCTGCAAAATGAAGTTAACCAGCCTGTCCATGCAATGTGTAACTAATTAAAACAGTGCTGCAAAATAATAAAAAAGACCAAACAAAAACAGCCGCTGTTGGTGCCAAGTTATCAGTTTAATTACCTTTTCATATTAGTGTTGGTTGGTTGGAAAAGCCATTTCTCTCAAATCAGTAAAGCATCATTTAAAAAATGCATTTTATATCCAGTCAGGTCACTTTTTGTGTGATATTAAAAGTAGTTTAGATGTTTTTATGTGTTTAGCAGCCTGACTGTGTGAGACACAGACGGCAACTAGGTCTGAACTGGGAGAATTGTTTATATTAAAACATATGGAAAATTGTCCAAAGATTGTCCTTTAATTAGTCTCTAGCTCTGTTTACCGACTATAACACTGGTAAACAATAAATCTGCTGAAAAAGGGATGATTTAGCAGAATCTGACAAATTATCACGCAATAAACTATATTTAAACCTGCTTTAGACAACATTTAATGAAGGCATATCAATAGAGGCTGGCCTTAACCTTTGAACTGACTTACTAGTTTTAGCCATGATGTTTTTTTTTGTTTCGATCAATTGAAGCTGCTCAGCCTCTGCAGGGTTCCAGAACCAAAACAAACAGAAACTCAGATCTTCCTGAATCTCCTTGAACCTCAAAGAACTGCAACCGAATGTCAAAACACGATCGACTATGATGTCATAGGAGGGACTTTAGAGGTGGAGCTGAGCTGAGTGGATACTAGTAAAGAAACAAAGGAAGCATTGATATTTTTAACAAATAAAGACAAAGTGTTTTTATTTGAGAACAGAAGTGAGATGTTCAGACGACTGCAGTTAGGAATGGATCAAATGACCTTTGAGATGGTTTGACAGTAATGTAAGTCACAAGTTGCAGACCTGAGGAGAACGAATTGTAGCAGAAAAACCACATTAACCTTAAAACTCTCTTTTTTGAAAGCTGTATCCTCTGATCTCTCTCTCTCTTCCTTCATCTGAACCGCTCCTATTTTATCCTCCATCTTTTCTTTGTCTAAAACTCTATCTGTCATTGTTTCCTTTTGCGTCGTTCTCAATAACTCATCGTTTTCCTTTCATCCTTTCTTCTTCTACTCCTCCTCCAGGTATCGACCTCATCGCTGCATTTTACGGATGCCTTTACGCCGGCTGCGTCCCGATCACAGTGCGTCCTCCTCACCCCCAGAACATCGCCACCACGCTGCCCACTGTCAAGATGATTGTGGAGGTAAAAGCTGCAGACCGATTTAATCTGTGTTGGACTGGCATCACATGCAGGGATGCTAGGAATACCACAGCTTTAAAGAAAAACAGAAAATCTGTGGAGCAGAACCCTGGTGGTCTGTCATTTCCTCTGATTGTTGCAGCTGCATCACAGTTGCAGTGTAATGCCTCTAATAGACAGTATTTGTTTTTTTTCCTTCTGTTTTTTGTGTGTGATGCACCATTTAGGTGAGCCGGTCAGTGTGTGTGATGACCACACAGGTCATCTGCAAGCTGCTGAGGTCAAAGGAGGCGCTTGCGGCCGTGGACGTCCGAACATGGCCGCCCGTTATTGACACAGGTACAAGCTTTCCATGTAGATCTGATGCTACAACAAAGCAGAGAACTTTTCTGACAATATAAATGTGTAAAAATGCTCTAAAGTCAAACTTTCTAAACGAAAATATAATATAGAGAACAAATTAATCTGATTATAATCATACTTTGATTATTTGCTTTCTTATTTTAAAGTTAACATCCAGGCCTTGAGTCTATTTTTTCATTTTATATAAATCTTTAGTGTATTACAGCTTAAGTTTTGAGCTGTTCAAAGAACAAATTTATCCTGTTTTTCCTCCAAGCAGCCTCTGTTATCCTTTGAAGGAAACAGCCTCCAGACATCCAATGGCCTGTTGCAGTTTTGTCTTTGTTCTTTGGCTGCTTGTTTGCTGCTTTTACATCCTTTTATTGTCTCCATCTCTGGTCCTAAAAATGTTCTACTGCCTAAACTTTCTTTAAAAGAGTTTAAAATGGTTTCTTTTGATTTGTTCAGCTGGAGAAATAAGAACCATTCATGTATTTTTTTTTTCAGGCTCTTTATAACAAAGAGCCTAAGCTGATGTTTTTATTTATTTTTTGTTCATTAACATGAACTGAAGCCCAGGGATGGACTGCTTCTCAGTGGAGGTTCAGTCTCTGGCTCTAGGAAAGGAATTTAAGCATCTTTACATATTTCTCTCAAGTGATAGGATGGAAGTAAAGATGGAGAGACAGATGAGCTTCATCTGCAGACATTGCTCCTGTTTGTTGTGTTAAAGAAAGACCTTAGCTAAAAATCAAAGCTCGTCTACGTTCCCTGGATCATGAGCTTCCGCTGAGCGGCAACTAGACTCCTTAGAGACGGGTCGAGCCGCTGCTTCTCTGCATCAAAAGGTGTCAGCTGAGTCAGTTTATGCATTTGAGCAGAATGCCCCCTGAAAAAGACTTACATCAAAGATAACCTCAGAAAGCCTGGAGACCTACATCAAGACCATTTGAAGAGATTACAACAAAGTCTGGATGCTTAAAACTAGATATATTTAAGAATTTATGACTCCAAATGTTTTCCTTTCAGATGATTTGCCAAAGAAGAAGCCTCCCCTGCTGTATAAACCGTCCAACCCCGACACCCTGGCCTACCTGGACTTCAGCGTCTCCACCACAGGCATGCTAGCTGGAGTCAAAGTAAGCACTCGCAGACAATGGATGGATGTTAAAGCTTTAAATCAGTTTAGCCGATGAAGAATTTACCTCAGGATGCTAAAGGTGAGGTGCTGCTTGTGGAAACTACTTTAATTTATCCCTCCTCCTCAGATTTAACAAAAGATTTGACCCTCCAATGCCAGCTGCTATGAGAGGGAGATAGTTTGGCGGTGATGACATTTCCAGGATAAAAGCGATTATTGATTCCTGCTGCAGAGAAACATACTGACTTCCTGTCCTCCATCTGGTTGTTATTGTGCCTGTGTGTAAATCCACTGATGCACGCGTAACCTTTCCTTTTCTGTGTTTATTCTATCGATGCTGAAACCTTTGGTTTGATTCTCTGCAGGTACAAACATATGGTTTTTGTTTTGCTTTCAAAGTTTAAAGTTTTGAACCAAACCTTTGAAGGTTTTCTCTGTAAGATAACGCTGTCCTGAAAAACAAAAATAAACATTGAACAACGAAATGTTGCTTCTTTTAGCTTTTAACAGTAGAACAGGAACCTGACATATTCCCTGTTATCATTCCCACCTTCACTTATCAGCAGCTTTTAGGTGCAATCGAGGAAATTGGAGAAAATTAAAGCCTCTATCTCTGTTAAGGATCTATATTTAAGGCTGAGTCTGATGTAATTTAATCATTATACACAAGGATAATGTTCTTATCTTTGCCTCCAAGTAAAGCAGAGACTAAATCACCCAATCCAACTAAAATATTAACATTATTCCAAAATTTACAGACAGATTTATGTAATTCCCTACAGTCTACACCTAAAATCTACTAATGATGTAATGCCTAGTAAATATATTTTTTGACCCAAGTGTATTTAATTAGATGATAGGATTACATATTATCACAGCTCTAAAGTTCAGTTTTTATTTATTTATGGGAATAATTTAAACTGGCAATAAACTGGATTTACAGAAAAATGTAGTAGGCTCAGGATAAATTATCTTTACAGTAAATTTGATTTATTTTGTAATTTGACAGTAGTTGGATATATTCTGTTAGCCAGAGATTAAATATATAAAATGAAATCTGTCATTCAAAGTCTTGTTTTAATTGGTAAATAAGAAACTAAAATTAATTTCTACTCCACCTGAACCCACTTTGGTGCAAACTAAGCAAGTTGAATTATTAAAAAGCTGTAAACAGGCTTAGAAAGAGTGGAGAATAATGATGTAACAGGTTACATCAGATTGCACTGCAGTGCTCTTTGTGTGCTGAGACTTCATTATCACCCCATAGTCAGAACCCAGTAAATGTATCTAACAGCCAAAGTTCATCTGGATTCTGCAGCCAGTTTTAAAAAGATGTCTGAATGTTCAGAGGGAAGCTGTCCTGAGTGTGTTAATGTCGCCTAAAGGTGCAGATGTGATGCTTTGCATCGTCATGACAACACAAAGGACGATAAAGCATAATTAATGGAACAGCTGTTTAAAAAATAAGGGGAAGTAAAGCCAGCCTGTTTTCCCCTGTGCTGCTAAATTGCCCGTTCATTGTGATTAATCATCGCACTTAATGAGCAAATCAGTCAGCGCCGCCATGTTAAAGCTGGAGCCAGACACCTCAGAGGAAAAACAAGGCGTCCCAGTCACGAAGACGCTGCTGCATCTAGTCCAATCAATGTTCTGTTGCTCCATCAATAACAGGCAGTTTGACTTCCTCCTGTAGGTTGCCTTTAAAAGTTAACAAAATATCATCATTTCTACGTTTTCTAAATCTGTAAGGCATGTAGTAACAGAGGGAGATTCTTTCTGTGCTCTAGATGTCTCACACCGCCACCAGTGCCTTCTGCCGCTCCATCAAGCTGCAGTGTGAGCTCTACCCATCCAGAGAGGTCGCCATCTGCTTGGACCCCTACTGCGGCCTGGGCTTCGTCCTCTGGTGCCTTTGCAGGTGAATACAACAATAAATACATCAATTTTTTATCATGATTTCATTTTAAAAAGTTCATCAAATTCTCAGCATCGGTTCATCTTAGTTAAGGTTGAGTAAAAAGGCAAGATGGAAAGAAAAAAAAAGACATCTGTTAATTAGTTAATTTGGCATTTATGTTGAGATAATTGTATTTAAATAGTGTAGAATAGAGAAATTGGCTTGGATGATGTTTTTGGGAAGTTTTGTCAAAGGTAGTTTTAAACCAGTCTGAAGGAAAAGGGGAATGATGCAAAGAATAGGGACCCGAGTAATGAGCCAAGGGGGGTCTCTGTGGTTCCAACTATCCTTTTTGTAAAATATTTTTCGGATTAACTGTTAAAGTTTACTGTGATTAAAGGATTCTCATGTTCTCTTTAGGGTGAGCTCTTAAAGTTTGGAAAAATGTTAATTAAAATCAACACTAATCATTTGTTACGAATGAAATTATGCGACACGAGCGTCCTTAAATATCGTAATCGGTTTTCATTCTAAATCTTTATTTCCATTAATAATACTCTGTTCACCTTCTGTCTCCTCCTCCTCAGTGTTTACTCAGGTCACCAGTCCATCCTCATTCCTCCCTCCGAGCTGGAAGTGAATCCGGCTCTCTGGTTGTCGGCCGTCAGTCAGTACAAAGTCCGTGACACTTTCTGCTCCTACAGCGTCATGGAGCTGTGCACCAAAGGCCTGGGCCTGCAAACTGACTTACTAAAGGTAACTTTATCAGCCGCATGAATTAACTACAGAAATCTCTCTGTCTTTTCCTGATGTCCTTCCTGCTTCCCTCCATCCAGTCTCGAGGGGTAGACCTGTCCAGGGTGAGGACGTGTGTGGTGGTAGCAGAGGAGCGTCCCAGGATAGCCCTGACGCAGTCCTTCTCCAAACTCTTCAAGGACCTTGGACTCCACCCACGGGCCGTCAGCACCTCGTTCGGCTGCAGAGTCAACCTGGCCATCTGCCTGCAGGTCAGTCAGCTTCACAGTTAAACATCATGGCTGAAATCAGAGCTGGGACTCTGTATTCAGTTGTTTAATGTGTCGGAACATTTAGCTGAAGTTTGCAGGTATCTGGTTTTTGTCATTTGGTTTAGTTTTTTAGTTTAAATAAACAGCTTTCTGAAAATAATCAGCATCTCATCTCAGCTGTTTGGATGCTGATTGGTTGTCTGACTGAAGGTTGTGTTGAGCTCGTCTAGCTTCATCTAAACCAGGTATAAAGTCTTTAAGTTTTCACACCACATTTAGGATTTTTATCATGGGTTATTGCAGGTTCCCCTTCTGCTGTGACTCTTTTATTTTACCCTAAGATATATACCCCTCCCCCTTTTTGAATTTGTATTTTTGCAGTTTTAGTTAATTAATTACTTTTTATGTTAGAAAAGAAGCTGCTGGCCATTATATCTATTCAGACAGCTTTTCTTCCTCCCAGTATTTTTTTACAATCTGTTCACAAAGATCTGTAAGGATAGGCAATGATGTGAATCTAATAACTGATATTTAGCAGCAGGAAGCAGCATAGTGGTGCTCTGTTAGTCATAAAAGTCAGCTTGCCCCAATAAGAAGCCGAACCGAAGGAAAGGAAAATAAGACGAAGCATAAAGTCTTCATAAAATAATCTGAATTTTTAATACATTTATGATTTTCTATTTCCATCGTCCCTTAGAAACAGCTAACCACCTCGATCAGGTGTGTATGTTCCTGCTCCAACACACAGCCTCCTAATGAGTCGTTTATTTAACTATCATCTGCATGGGAGAAGAAATAGACCAATAGGCAACATGAGGTTAACTGGTACAAAAAAGGTTTACAGGTAAACCAACCTGTGTGGGGAAATGTGATGGTGAGTTGGCCTGCGGTCCTACCGGGGGGACACTGTGCTGCGATGGACTGACCATCCTGCACTTCTGTTTCTATAGCTTTGGAATTAAGCTTCAAATGTTTATATAAACCCTAGACTTCTGCAGGGTTTGGATCTGTGGTTTGGTTTTAAGCAAAACATAAAAACAACTTTTTTTTTTTAAATGGCAAATAATTTTTTTTCTTTTGCAAATAATGTGGATTAATCATGTCATAAAATAATTTTTTTGTTATCTAAATTTATTTTTAAATAAAATACTAAAATTCACATTAAAATTATTTAAGATTCGCAATGATTAGAACTCTGATATTAAACTTGCTGAAACCAAAGTGGAAGGAAGGAAGGAATGAAAGGAGAACAGAATAAAAAAACAGAGCAGAAAAAAAGCAGAAGTAAGATGAAGGAAAAGGAGACAGAAGAACATAATTTCAGAAAGGAAGGAAGTAAAGATAAGAATCACAAGAGAAACAGTTAAGAAAAAGAAAAGGAAAGTTAGGAATTGGAAAATGCATATATTGGGAGAAAAAAAGAAAAGAAACAAGGAAAGGACGTAATGACAAAAGAAGGATATTGTCAAGCAAGAATACAAGGAAACATTTAAGGAAAGTAGGGTGTAGGAAAGCAAGGTAACCTGGAAGGACAGAATGTGATAATGGACACAAGACATGAAAAAGCTTTTTCAAGTTTTACTGGACTCTGTCCTCCCCTCCTTCTGCAGAAACACATTCAGCTTTTTATTTCATATTTCAGCTCCATCCGTCCTTCCATTCCAGGCTGATCATTTCTGTCGCTTTCAGCTGCGGTTTGAAACCTTTAAATTGGACAGAGATGTTCTTATCTTATATCAAATGATCACTGTATTGTTTTTAAGACGTCCCCAAAGTCGGTCCTGGAGAGCCGCTGCCCTGCAGGTTTTAGAGGTTTCCCTGCTTTAGCACAGCGATTATGATGATTGCAGTTGAACAAAAGCCTGTTAATCAGCTTTCAATTAAAGTCAGCTGTGCTGGAGCAAGGAAACCCCTAAAACCTGCAGGGAAGCGGCCCTCCAGGACCGACTTTGGGAATACCTGCTTTAGATTGTTATTCCATTTTCAGGCATGAATTTGAGCTACTAATTTGCTAACTGTAGATGATGTTAAAGCTTCAGCTGTTAGACTAACCTCCCGTCCTTCAACCTGTAATTTCAGTCTGTTTAAATGAATGAATGACAAACACATAACCTGGTTAGTTAAAGGCGCAGCAGTTAAACCTTGAAGGAGCTCAGATGACTCAGACTAACATCCTTCTGAAACACATTTTTTAAAGCTAACTGCTTGTTTTGTTTCTTTAAGTTTGCATTTTGACTTTTTTCCTCCCTCTTCTTGTTTTAAAGCATAACCCCACCTTCATATCTCATACTTTGTTCTGTCTCCGTCCTCCCTCCTTCTTTACTTCCTTTGCTTCCTCTTTTATTTCCTCCTGGGCCCCGTCTCTCTGCTGCTGTAGCCTCACAGGCTGGGAAAGTTTGCCGACCAGGTAGGGAACCTCCATGAACCTTCCCCTGCCTGACGAACAGCACCGGGTTTGTCAGCAACCTGCTCTCCAAACAGCTTAAGATTAAAACTTTTTTTTAAATCACTGGAAATTCTTTTTTTTTCTTACACTTTCTGCAGCCTTTTCAAAGTATCCTTCCATAGAAACATTGAAATGCATCAAGCGTTTTGAAGTTGGACGAGTCAGTGTTTTATATTCCTCAACTCTACTAGACCTCTCCTCCATCCCTCAATCTGGCATTTGCACAATTTCTAAATCATAGGAGGAGAGATTAAACAAAAACAGCACAAATTTGCTTTTAGAAGAACCATGTTGATGCTTTTTCTTGTTAGGCTGCAGAAGGCTTCAGCCGTTGGAGCAACTTTACTCTTAATTCACCAAACTATTATGATCTTGGCGTTAAAAAAAAAAAAAAAAAAATTATCTCATAACTAGATTTTACCCCTGTGCATTTTGCTGACTGGTTTATGCATCAGGCAAATGCAGGAAAATGTTAATTAAAAGAGCAAATTAGGAACCAAAAGTGTGTTCCAGTAACCAAGTCAACTAATTAGAAGGAGGCCTCCATAGTGTAATAGATCAGAATTAAATCAAGCATATGGCTGAAAATTAGGTTTCTCTGGAGACCTTAATAATATTTTGAAGGTTATTAATATTAATTTCTTTGTAAGCAAAAATGTTGACCTATTTCTAAAACTTAAATTTTGTTTCTCACTCGCCACCAATTTTATTTTAAATTTAAAGGACATTTGCCAACCCAAATGTGCCAGGGGTATGAATAATTTTGGACCTAACTGTAGCCAGTGACATACGTTAAAACGTATTTGAAAAGAAATATAAAATCTGTTTTCCTGTAAAAACCAGTGGAAAAAACTGTGTCTTCTTGGTAGAAACTAGCAAACCCAGAAGGCCCCAGAGCAGCTAGTGGGGTGAATTAAAAAATGGCCGCTGGAAGCTCCAGATTACTACTGTATCTATTAACTATTAAACCATTACATGCTTTTTACTGTAGTTTTACTGAACATAAACTAAAAGATTCAGAACAATGACAATAAAAGTAAATTGGGGTCTTTGTGAAAAGTTTTTTTCTTAGCACTTTATTATCAAGTCACGCTTTAGCTAATGTTGCTGGCTAGCTTATTTGAAGATATCCATTTTCTGTTATGATTTGGTACCAGTTTTATAATAAAATCAACCTGTTGTGCTTTAGTTTGCGTTATTTACAGGAAAATCAAGAAATGCAAATAAATTATTATTTTTGTATGAAAATCATTAGGCTAGCCTTGTGCTAATTTCAGACATCCCAAGTTCCAAAAACTAATTTCAGGGAGATGCTTAACGCCTCAAACATTTTCAGTACTTTCAATCTTGTAGCCTTGAACATCATTTTCAGGGGACTTCAGCATACAGTGCACCTCGCCACGGTGACATCATTCCTCACCATGGCCGGTTCTACATGGTTACTGATAGGTCCTTTGGATCTATTTCATTCTTTTTCTTTATAAATTATGTTTTACTAATTATTCAAAAACAATAAGGTGATAGCTTCGGTGGTACTGAGATAGGATCCCACTTTTCATCTGCTAAATGTTTTTTTCTCCACAACAAATAAAAAAAATGCTCTAATTTTTACAGATGAATTTAACAGTTTTTCTTGAGTTCTAATTCAAATTTTATAGAAAACGGTAGTTTTAACTTAAATTAAGTCAAATTATAAATGTATATTGACCTCAAAAGAGATAGAATTTCTATTGAAGCTAATTGAAAATAAATATAACTTAATGCAGCTCTTTTAATATATTTGAATCTCTTGCCCTGTTTTTTATTTCATGCTTTTCTGGGCCCCCATGAAAACACGCTGGCCCCCTCCTGGCCCCCTGGTACATTTGGTCTAGATCCGCCACTATTCCTCCCCTACACTAGACGTGGATATACTTTAGTATATTCTGCTTTAAAATTAGTCCTATATTTTCTTTCTTTAGTCGAGGATTCAACCTCTGCCGTTTCCAAGGATGCAGGAATTATTGCCTGCCCGCTCTCACTGGCATTAAAAAACACCACCTTGCAGAGTGTAAAATCCGGGATAATTTATCCGACTCACAGGCATCCATGAACAGCTATGTATATCAGGGAGACTCCCAGAACTTCCCGTAGACTTGGGATGTCTGTAATTTAGCCCATGATGGCTGAGTCTGTCTATAAGGGTTTTGGATCTTTGGTTGAGACGGTTTTTATCCGGTGATGGATTCTCTTATGATTTTCTTATATTTAAAGAGAACCTGGGGTTTGGTTGAATACTAAGAAATCAGTTTCTGGTCTAAATTCTTTTCTGTGTCTTATTTTTTCATTAATCCCTACTTAAACTTGTGCGGAACAAACTATGAGGCATATGATTACGGTTGTTCTGCTTTTAAATCTGTCATCTTTCGTCTATTTCTCTGCTCCTTGATTTGGGGCTTTCTGTCTGCATGTGGGTTTGATGGAAACACGTTGTAAAGTCTTGTATTTACTCTGTTTATGACACACTGTAATGTTTGTTTTGCTCTGTCACCTTCCACTGAGGTGGTCTCAGAACACACTCCTAATGTTTGCATCCTGTGATTAGAGATGAATGCATCCACTGCAGCCTGGGAGGAATTAGTGGTGCTAGTTATAGTGGTAGTAGTGTTTGGTTTGTGCTTGTATAATAAAATGACTGAAGTCTGTGTTCCTGCAGGTTAATCAGATGTTTCTTGTTACCCAGGGTACATCAGGACCCGACCCCACCACTGTGTACGTGGATATGAGAGCGCTACGACACGACAGGTGAACATCTGTTTGCTCTGTGGCTGAAATGGGGCTTAAAATGTTTTCTTTATTTGCTAAATATGAATGGGTAATACATTTTTTATTATTAATAATATTCTTTAAGAATTTGCTTCCCTCATTTCCCTCTCAGATTTTTTCAACAATATTTTATTACAAAGTTTTCGTGAATGAGGTTTATATTATATACTCTACCATATAATTACATTTTTATCAACAACCTAGAACAAGAGTTAACAAACAACAGTGTTCCTACATGTGAGCCAGGTAATCTTTAAACGAATAACGTTCTATGCTTCTTACATTGTGAAAAAATAAATAAGTAGAGACAAGAAATAATAATATTAACATACAAACATGGATCAATCAATATTTCGTCTTCCTGCTCAGGAACCAAGCTTACATTTTTAACATATAAAAAAAAAAAAAGAAAGAACTTTTTTTACACTTAAAAAATTGTTATTCGTTCAAGTGGAAGGCGTAACACGTTCTGTGTTTTATCCATTGAATAGCTACTGGTCTATGGGTGTTTTTCCACATCAGTGCAATACAGATCTTGGCAATGAAATGATAATTTCTTGGATTTAAACCAAACATAAAGCCCATGGTAGGGGGTTCAGTGCAATTACTTTTGCAATATTTTTTTTTCTATTCTTTCCTCTCCCTAAAGCATTTTATTTTTCCACATGCAATGAAAGTAGGGTTCCTTTATCTTCAGTGGGACCCCGTTTTAACCTTAGAATGAATCTAAATCCTAACTGTAAATTTAACAAGGAGATCTAAACCTTCCTCTGAGATTTTGTCCCATATTGACTTGATGCTGCATCATAGGTAGCTGCACACTTGTGCTCTCAATCTCTCCATCCATCACATCCCTAAGGTGCTCTGTTAGAAATCTGGTGTATAATCAATGTCATCTTAAACAAACCAGTTTAAAATAATCTGTCCCTTGTGAAATTCTGCATGATCCTGTTTGAAGAAGCCATCTGATGATGGTGCCACTGCAATCATATAGGGACAGTTATGCACACACAATACCAACTTAGCGTTGCCTAAACACAACAGCCAATTCAAAACCTCAAATATACCAAAGAAAAAAATCCAGCCTGTACCCTTTTCCCCCGGTTCATCAACCAGTGGTCAGTTTAGGCCTGTACTTATATAATGCCTTATTCTGACTAAAAGCAGAGGTGTTGTGCTTTTCAGATGTCATTCGTGGTTAATTGAGGTACTGCTGCATTTCTATCATTTTCAACCATCTATTCTCTGACACCACAGAAGTGTTTTTGCTCAAACAGCTGCAGCTCTGGTGGTGTTTTCACTATTTCTGACCATCCTCAGTGATTTTCTACAAAATCCAAATAAATGTTCAATGTATGAAACACCCATGTCAGCATATCACATGCTCAAAGTCACTTAAATAGCATTTCAAGATGCTGATTATTGTTTCTAGATAAGGTGTACGTAAAAAAGTTGCTGCTGAATGCATTTAGGAATATTTACTATGAAATATATTTGTTAAGAAGAAGATAAATAGATTTAACAGATTTTATCCATGGCTTTCTTTCTGATAAAGTAGAAAATTAGAAACAATCTTTGATGATATGCTTCAGTCTCTGCATGAGGCTCATTTTAATTTCTGGAAGTAACTCTGAGCTTCTTTTCTTTCTGCTCACGCTGACATTTTATATATTCAGTTCCCACAAAGCGTTGCCTTGGGTGCAGTGGGATCCTGCAGCTGTTCTGCAGGGTATCTTCAGTTGTAAAGTTTATTAATGCGATACAGTCGAGTGCTTGGGAATAAGGGACTGCAGCCTTGAAAACAAGCGCAAAACAAGAAATGTTGTCCTCACCTCTGATGAGACAGCGAAAAGTTTGAGTTTACAGAGAAGCAGAATAGAATATAAACAGCGTTAGTGTCCCACAGTGGGAAAAAATTGGACGCAACAGTGGTGAATGAAGTTGATAGAATACATGTAAGTTAGCTTGCTTTACAGTATGTTGAGTCACAGTAAGAGACGTGGCTTTGATTAGTTCAATTTGAAGTCTTAAAGGAAACAACCAGCTGTCTAAAAAATTCAGCGATGTCTGAGTTTCAGGGGTGGGAAGTATAGCAACACCTTCCCACATTACAGCCATGATCAGAAGTTTTTGTTGTGGACTTTTTCCAATAATTATACTTTACTGCTGAAGAGCAATGGTAAATTACAGCTGTTGCTTTATGTTTCCCCACCCTGCTTCTACTTCAATATACTTTGTGTCTGCCAGGTGGGCAGTTATCTGTCGTGTCTCATGGTTTGACCCACCAATCATATCTCAAACCAGGTTTTTCTTTTCCCTGCTGTAGCTTTTTACCTCAGGATATGAACATATGTCCTCTTATCAGCCTGGCCATTGAGAGGAGTAACATTTTTTTATTTATTAATGGTATTGAGTTTCATACACATGGACAGAAATGTCGAATCCCCTCATTGAATGAAAGAAAAAACAACAATGGTCACAGAAATAACTTCAATCTGATAAAATGATCGTCCTGCGACAGACTGGACGATGGATGATAAAAATATCAAATAAAAAAGTCTAGGAAAATTAGCAAATGAAAGACATTTATTTTCAACCATTCTACAAAAGAATTAATTAAAAAGGTAAAATCATTAATCAGATCTGGACAACCACTGTCAACCACTGCAATCAAATGATTTGTGTAAACATAAATGAGACTTTTGGTCCTGTCAGTAGGTATTTTGGCCCACTCCTCATGAGCAGACTGCTCCAGTCATTTCAGGTTTGAAGGCTGCCTTTTCCAGACAGCATGTTTCAGCTCCTTCCAAAGATGCTCAATAGGATTTAGGTCAGGGCTCATAGAAGGCCATTTCAGAATGGTCCAGTGTTTGCCTCTCAGACATTCTTGGGTGTTTTCAGCTGCGTGTTTTAGTTCATTTTTTTGTTGAAGACCCATGACCTCGATTGAGACCAAGCTTTCTGACTCTGGACAGCATATTTCTCTCTAGAATCCCTGGATAATCTATAGATTGGATTGGACCCTGCAGAGATTGAGACACTCCAAATCCGATGAAGCAAAGCAGGCGTAGAACATAGAGCAGGGGTTTTCAACGTTTTCCAGGCCAAGGACCCCCAAACTGATACGAAATGGAGCAGGGACACCCTAGTTATATATATTGTATGAAATTGTGTTATATCAAACTGGTCCTATAGTCACTCTATTACAGATGGAGTAATGTAACGAAAGTAATTTCTCACTGGGATAATTAAAGTATTTCTGATTCTGATTCCTGGTTGATGGGACAGGTGTTGTGAATGAAACGGTGCCCAGCTTGAAAGAGCTCCTGTGTGTTGCTGAATGTGTGCATTGATGACTGAAAGACATGTAATGCCTCCATTTATCTGTTTACTACAGTGTGTTGAATTCAAGTTAATGTGCATTTCAAGACATTTCAATTAGCAGAAGAAATTGCAGGGGGGAATATAAGAAAAAGTCTGATTAACCAAAACTTTTGCGACCAACCTGCAGTACCTCTGCAGACCCCCTGTTGAAGACCTCAACATAGTAGATACAGTGATCTTTTCTTGCTATGCTTCCTTACTGTGAACATAGAGCTGATGTCTTGGTTAAAGACATCAGCTCTATGTGCTCTAAGCACATTCTCCCAGGAGCTTTGTGGCTTTTTAAAAATGTAGTTTTGTAGGTTCCAGTCTGTCTTTTTTATGTATTGTTTTCAACAATGGTGGCCCTCCTAGGTTATCTCTCATTAAGTCCACTTTGGCTCACTTTCTCTCTTTTCATCCAGGAAGTTGGCTATAGTCCCATTTATCCTAAATTTCTGAATATGTGCAGCTGTAGTCACAGAAACATTAATCTGCTTGGAGATGGTCTAATAGATTTTACCTTAAACATGCTTGTATATAATTTTACTTCTAATCTCCAGGGACAACTCTTTCCTTTGCTTCCACTGGTCCATGTTGAGTGTGGTATACACCATGTCACCAAGCAGCACATCTGTTGCCCAATTATAATAATAAATATTGAACATCATTGATCTCACATTGGAGGAATTCCTTTCTGCATCTTAACCCATCCCCTTGGGGAGCAGTGGGCTGCCACTGTGCGGCGCCTGGTGAGAAATCAGGAGGTTAAGGGTCTTGCTCAGGAACCCAGTGTGCAGGCTATAGGGATCCAACCGATCATTTGCAACCTTGTCAGAGCACAAGTGCACTGCTGTAACCACTAGGCAAACACTTCCCATAGGCCAGCTAATTGATTACAAGATTGTAGACACACCTTGATTCAACATTTTCCTTTGGTCACATAATTTTCAGTCTTTTCTAGGGGTACCATTATTTTTCTACAGGCCTTTTTTTTAAGTTCTTTCCGTGAGTCACGGAAATAGGACCGTGACTATTGTGGTTTTTTCTTTCATCAAACAAGGGGGACTAACATTTTTGTCCACATGTGGATCTATTTAGGTTCCTCTGCACCTTCCCTTTCTCTTCTCCTAACATTGTGACAAATCCAATGAAGATGATTACTTTTATTCGGACAAAAGGGATCTAAACAAAACCTTAGAATACAGCAGTAGCTATTCAAAATTTTCCCAATTTTCTTGATAGGTCCTTGGATAGTCCTCTACAATTCCTTTTTAAACATCTAAAATATTCTTTCTGTCATGATTTGTGGACATTAGGGGGGATAATTCAGTGAAAGGACGGAGTCAGAGTAAAAAAATATGCACGGCCATGAGAAGGCCGGTGGCTGGAAGGAGATTTTGAGTGGGAAGGGCCATTTTGAATGGCTGCTTCTGTATATACCTTATAATATATATGGGTAATAAAAACTACATAAATCATAGAGAAGTATACACGTCTATAATACTTAACACCCTAGGTCATTGTAGTCTAACAGACTTTTTCAAGAATGATAACACAGGTGTTTGATAGCCTTACAGTAGACATCTATCTGTTATAGACAGGATGAAGGTGGGGAAACTGATGTTAGGATCATTAGAACTGAAAAGTTATAATTTTAATTAATTAATAATGAAAATGGAGCCAAGGTTCAGCTGCAGCAAAAAACAACTTCAAGTACCTGTTTTCTTCTTGTCCACTGCTAATGTATCTTTTGATGATCTATGGTGAAGCACCAAAATGGTGGAAAAATGTTAGAAAATCCTTTTATCTCTCTTCTCTAATGAGAACCTGTAGCTCGTCCCCTAAAAGCAGCTGGGAAAGCAGAAGCTAACAAACTGATGAGCTGCTGCCCATCAGTCAGGAGTTTTTCCACATGTTGATATTCAGAGTTTTGAAGAAGAGCATTCAAATCTAGCAGACTGAAGGTCTCCTGCTGTTGATGTTCATCTGCAGCCGTCAGAGTGCAGAAAGCAGCAAAGCCCTGCAGTCCTGCTGATCCATCTGTGATAACATGTAATCACTGCTGATGTAGACGGTCTCAGTCCTTCTGAGAGGCTCCATGTTTGTTGTTTTTAATCTTCTGTTGGCTTTTATTGCCTCTCGGAGGTCGGAACCATTACATTCACCCTCAGGCCTAAGTTTCATTTTAGAAACCGTGGTTTCTGGAAACTACCATGATTCAAATAATCTGTTCCCAGAAGTATCCCCTTCAGCTGTTTGCAGCGACTCAACTATCAGCTTAAAGGACTCAGAGAGTCAGAGCTTATTCTTGTCATCAATAATTCAAAGGCAGTCTGCTGTGGCCTGAGTCAAATTTTGTCTTCTTTGTTGTTTGAGCCATTCTATTATATCAAATAAAAATCATGAACACAGCTCTCTAACCTTCACATCGTATTTTTAAGTCTTATTTGATATATCACAATGTGCAAGAATAAACCTAATAACACAAGAATGTTAACCCAACTCTGCTGTTTAGGGTAAGATTAGTGGAGCGGGGGTCCCCACACAGTTTACCACTGATGGAGTCTGGGAAGGTATGTTCTTTATTCCCTCTTTAAATAAGAGATTTAACGTAACATGACAGCAATAAGAAATGTTTTAAGCCATCTATGCTATTTTTTATTTGTTGAATTCCTCTGAATGAGCAGATCCTGCCTGGAGTCCGGATCATCATCGCCAATCCGGAGACCAAAGGGCCGATGGGGGAGTCACATCTGGGAGAGGTTTGTGTCATTTTTTATAACCAAACCTCACTGTAGGAGCCAATTATTTTTCTTAATAATTAACTAAGATTTTATTTTTTTTTGGATAATCTATTTAAGTTTATTTATCATTTATTGTTTGATGTCTGTTTTGAGATGATGTTTTTTGGTTATTTAGTTATGTTTCCTTTTTAGCAGGATTTTTTAAATTAGGTCGCATTGGAGAATTGTAAGACTAGCAGATATAAGCACTAAAGTAATTTTCAGCCAATCACAGGTGGACTATTTGGTTTGTTTTAGATCATCGTGCTGCAACATAACCTAAATATTTTTAAGGGTTTCTGGAATAGGGTTTGGAATTTATCATATTTTCATGATTCCGATTCTCTTATCGATTCTGTGAAACAATGAATTTGGTATTTGCACGGTGACATTCGTCTACCTTCGCCTGGAATATTCTATTTCTGCCTGCCTCGGTGAAAACAGAAGGCAGTGAACAGGAGCTGCCAGCCTCTGATCCAGCGCGGCTACAGTCATCTAAATCTAATGGAGAAGGCATCCGTTTAATGAAAAAGCATTATTGTACAATTTCAGGAAATAAACACATGTCCCCCTGATTTAAATAAACGAGCGTCTCCTTTCTCTCCCTCCCTGAACTGTGGAGCAACTTCGTAGCATGTTTACTAACCCCAAAGAGAGGTAGGAAACTGGTTTATTTCCAGAAATGGCATATGATTTACTAGGAACCACATTAAGCACAGCCAGTGATATAAAACTAGCTACTTACCACCAGAGTTGCCTTCCATGCTGGTCGTAACTTTAGCTTCTGTCCGGAAGCATTAAAAACACTTTATAATATATGCCATGCTGTGTGCGCAGGTGTTTCTGCATGTTGGACGTATTTATCCCGCAGATAAAATTGCCACTTCGCAATGATTCCAAAGCGCCTTGTTACCATTTTTCTCTTCCTTAAAATTAAGCCAAACTTTTGATCGCTTTACCTGATGGGACGCCATTTTTTTTTATTTTGCTTTTCTACACTCACTTCTGGTCATGTCGTACTTGCTTACTGAATGACTTGTCTGTAACTTGCGCTCTAGGCTCTGGTGCTGCCTGGAAGTGTTAAGAGAATCGTTAGGCGAGCTGCCAAACGGTGCCATAGAATTGGAACACACGGAGCCGGTTCTAAAACAGGAACCGGTTTTCATTCCCATCTCTATTCTGGAAGTATTCCTTGAATTAGTTAATAGCAATCAGACTTCATGGTTTCATCCTTTACAACCGGCCATTTCCAGACCCTTACACTACATGAGTCGTTTTCCGCAATAGCGGTCATACAGACAAAACCAGCCGGTAAGGTACCAAACAGGAAATAGTGTAGAGCGGATGTAGATTTGACCAATCAGAGGCCTCCTGAGGCACTGTCTGCGGTCACCTACAATTTTGGAGATGTGCAGCAGAGTGTCTGCGGAAGGGGGGCACATTTGCATTCACTGCAACACGCACGCAGACGACCTGGTGAGTCTAAATCATTGTTCACAACGGGAACCTTTAAAGCTATGCAGGCTTAGTTAAAGTCAGAGCCCTCATGAATCCTGTAAAATTGTCCAGTACACAGGCAGGAATTAGTGGACCATCTTGGAGGGTTTATGTCCCGTTCTAATGACCAACAGTCAAACATGGTAGACTTTGAGGTGGGATCCCGGGCCCCCCCACATGGCTCAGACGTACCACCGGCCCATCTCGCCTGGTTCACTATTGTGTTCTCTACCAGTGGATAATGGCTCTCACTGTAGTTTCAACTATTCTCTCTTCATCTTGAATCTCTTTAGATCAGGACTGGATGCAGAGCTTCATTTTTTCCTAAAGCCTACTTCATGTTGTGAAACAGGTCCTGTCACTATTGGTTTCTTGATTCTACCGGTGTGGCAGACATCAGACCTGGGTTTGCATAGTGAAATCAAACTTTTCAATGTCTCTGGTGAATCACTCTTAATAATTGTGTTTCTGTGTTTACTCAGGTCATCCTGTCTGATATGAAATTAATTTGAGGAAATCTGTAAAGATGAGAATTTAAATGAGAAACTCTTCTCATAATTGGTTTTCATTCACATCTGTGTCGTATTTAAATCGCTCAGATAAAGGAAACAATCCAGTCATGTCTGGTGATTCATCCAGCTCCATACTGAACAACAGCTCCCCCTGCTGTTCCTCCTCAAGACTTCAGCACATGATTATTTTCACATCAGAAACAGATGTACTCTGCAGAATAAATCAGAGCTTTATTTGCCTGTGAGGAGCAAAATAAGATTTATATGAAGCCAGGTCAATATCTGGGGACTTTTTATGGTCAGAAAGAGCTGTTCTGGTTTTCTCCACAGTAAAAGCACCAAATAGGTGCCAAATTAGAATTATTCTATTCTAGTTAGAATTCAACTTTGTCATTACATTGTCACAAGTACAGAAAGATATTCACTCTCTGCATTTAACCCATATCCTTGGGGAGCAGTGGGCTGCCATTGTGCAGCACCCAGCGGGCAGTGTGGGGGTTAAGGGTCTTGCTCAGGGACCCAGAGTGGCAGTCTGTGGGAGTGGACCTCAAACTCAAAACGTCTGGGATCTAAACACAATGCCTTACCCACTAGGCCACCTCTCCCCATAAATTATCTAAAAAAGGTCAGTTCTCTGCGGAGGCTGGGTGCTGAGGAAGATGGTGACCCAGTGATATTTCCATCTTAGGTCTGTAGTTTGAAACCTAAGACTTGGAACATTTTGATTGGATGTTTTTCTCAATGAGCCAATATCTAGCTGCTAACCACTGCCCTAAAACAGGCACTAAATATGGTTCTGTTTGTGTTTAGATCTGGGTGCACAGCGGCCACAACGCCAGCGGATACTTCACCGTCTACGGAGACGAAGTTCTTCAGTCGGATCATTTTAGCTCCAGGCTCAGTTTTGGCGACACTCAGACGGTTTGGGCTCGGACCGGATACCTGGGCTTCCTGCGGCGGACCGAGCTCACAGACGCCAGCGGAGGTGAGCAAAAACGCCTGAGATTCACAGAGCTTCAGAGCTCAGCTGGATTCTCCTCTGAGTAAACAAAGAACCAAAACAGCTGCAGTAATCTGGATTATTAATAAAAATCATGCAGTTACAGCAGGGTGGTTTTTCTGTTTCTGCAGAGCGTCATGATGCTCTGTATGTGGTCGGCGCGCTGGAGGAGGCCATGGAGCTGAGGGGGATGCGTTACCACCCCATCGACATCGAGACCTCTGTTATAAGGACGCACAAGAGCATCACAGAATGGTGAGAGCTGATAGACAGGGCTTCACGTGGTGCTTAAGCTCAAGTCTATAAGAAATACAACATCTCAACATCTGAGATTATTTATCATAGATGAGACTGAAAGCTCATAAAAACTAAGTACATCCTTACTGCCTCCACAGTTTTCTGGTACAGATAACATGAATGTTGATGTAATGCTAAGAAGGAAGGGTTTGAGCAGAGGTTCAGCTGTCGCTGCATATTCACCCCAAGGTCAGTGCAGGAAGAATTCGGAGAAACGGCAAATAAAATCTCTAGAGCTGCATTATTCCCACCGTTGCTCTGGCTGCTTGTTTAGTGCCGTCGTCCTGCTGGAAGGTTTACCTCCCTCCAGTTTCTTCTCTAGGATTGTCCTGTGTTTTAACTGCATACGTTGTTCTTTCCACTCTGAACAATTGTTCCGTCCCCGCAGCCTGATGCTGCTGCTACCATGTGTGAGAATGGTCTATTTGTCCTCTCATCAGATTCTTCTACCTGAGCTGTGAATCTCTGCAGCTGCTCTAACTACCATCCATCTTGTGCCTCACTCTTTCTATTGTTTCTGCGATGGACTGAATAGTGGAGCGCAGTTGGTGCTGTTGTGGTCAGAAGGTTGTGAAGGCGGAGCTATAGTCTCTGCAGACAGGCGTTAGCCTAAACAAGCCCTGCAGGCGTTTCTACTTAAAGATGACACGGGTGCAGTATTCTCCAAAAATACAGGCAGCAGTGCACCAGGGTACAGTACCAAAAAAGTTTACTCAAGGAAGAGTAGCACTGCTTTAACATAAACATAAAGTAAAAACAGGAGCCATCCAATAAATTACTGAAGTGAGATTAAACATCTGATCATAACATCTGATTTAACATTTTAAATTTACAAAACATGTAAAGTTATCTGCAAAGTTTGAAAACAACATAAAAGATATAAATTCAGTAATTACACAATAATTTCAGGTGGTAGGTTAGATTAGTGTAAGTTAATTCCAGAAACGTCATATAGTAAACTGTTTGAAGTATTTCTACTCGGCCTCCAAATGACAGCAGGATCAGCAAAGAGAAAATAAAAAGAATCTGGAGTAAAAACAGAAGAATTACTCAGACATTAACTGTCAGCGTTTGTATTTCTGGTCTTTTTGTTTAAAACAAGCCTGTTCCTCATTGAGGGAAGTTTTAACTTGATGGGTCGGGCAGCCAGACATTTTACTCTAGAAACTGTAACTAGTAACTACCTACCTCTGCAGTACACCTCATAACCCGTGAGAGAGAGAAGAAAGGAAAGTAAAACTATAGACCTCTTTGTAAAGAATATAAAACTATAAAATCTGAACTCTAGTTGATGTGGATCTATATATGACATTACACTATGCTGTACATGCTCTAATCATTGGCGTTCAGCCCCTTGTGCATAGTTCAATATGCCAAGTATAAACCAGACAAAAGTTTAACTCCTGGTGCTTTTATACAGATCCTGTGGTTACGAAAAAACAAAAAAAAACAAAAACATAATTCATAAATGTATTCATGTATCTAAACCGGAGGTCTTCAACAGGGGTCCGCGACCCCTAGGGGTCCACGGAGGTACTGCGTGGGGGTCGTTTTGGTTGATTAGACTTTTTTTTATATTCCCCCCTGCAATTTTTTCCACTGATTGAAATGTCTTTAAATCCACATTAACATGAATTCAACACACTGTAGTAAACAGATAAATGGAGGCAGAAGATGTCTTTCAGTCACCAATGCACACATTCAGCGACACACAGGAGCTCTTTCAAGCTGGGCACCGTTTCATTCACAACACCTGTCCCATCAACCAGGAATCAGAATCAGAAATACTTTAATAATCCCATGGAGCAATTACTTTCGTTACATTACTCCATCTGTAATAAAGTGACTATAGGACCGGTTTGATATAACACAATTTCCTATAATAATAATTAGGTGGTCCCTGCAGCAGAGCTCAGATTTGCAGAGGTACAACTCTATGCACCAAAGTCCTTTCAGGAGATCTTTGATTTTGCAGCACAGAGACTGGTGTCATACAAAGTAAACAACGAATTGAGGCATCTCATATCCACTATCAGGCATGGTGGTGGAAGGCTGATAATTGGATGTCATTAACGGCACTTGAAACAGAACAGCCATTACTCTCTGCTGCTTTTTAAAATGAGAAAAACATGATTTAGGTGAATTAGTCAGGAAATAATTAGCATAGACTAGCTTCTAATATTGCACATATTTACAATTAGGTGTTTTGGTCTAAATGTCATTATTCAGTCATAGAGATCAACTGGAACTGCTCTGTAAAACACTTTTGTCTGTTTTCAACAGACAAAAGTGAGACAGTTTGGTCCAAAGGGGGTTATCTGTGGCTTAGAAAGAAAATAACCCAGGTGTTGCAATGGCCTAGTCAAAGCCCTGATCTCAGGCTGATTTAAATGTTCAGGTTGGACCCAGAGATGTCTGTGCAGAGAAGAACTATAATGAACTGAATCAATGTTCAGTGGTCCAGAGAATGTTCTACCAGGTTTGGGACCAGGGGCTGAACCCAGCATCTCAGACCCAAGTTCCTAACATCCGGTCTGACCTTTACCCTTCTAAACCGCTCTCATGCTGTGCTGTTGTGTTTCCAGCGCCGTGTTCACCTGGACCAACCTGCTGGTGGTCGTGGTGGAGCTCGACGGCTCCGAGCACGAGGCCTTGGACCTGGTTCCGCTCGTCACCAACGTGGTTCTGGAGGAGCACTACCTGATCGTCGGGGTGGTGGTCGTCGTCGACATCGGAGTCATCCCCATCAACTCCCGCGGCGAGAAGCAGCGCATGCATCTACGCGACGGCTTCCTGGCCGACCAGCTGGACCCCATTTATGTGGCCTACAACATGTAGCGCCCCCCAGTGGACACAAATAGACCTATCCAGGACAGTGAGGAAAAACTGAAGGCCATGTGGGCCAAATTAGCCCTGTGTTTCGTCTTTCAGGCAGAGCTATACCCCAGTCGGGTTTTGGTTCCTCACCATGAGGTCCTGGTTTGTCTGATGGAAAGGGAAGCTGGATCCTATCAGGGCACAATATGGCTGATGTCAGAAAGGTTTTGGCTCCACAGCAACATCTGGCTCACTCTATAGTTTCCTGTTTTATCTCTAAATGTTGGAAAAGTCAAGGCTATTTTTTTGAAGATGATATTTACACAAAAAAAAAATATTTTGTGTTTTTACGACCATAGCAAAGAGCGGGATATGTTTGATACAAGGGCGGGGTCTAAGGACAGCTAATCACAGCTGACCCTTTTGTTTTATCATGAGGTACTTTGATTTAGCGTTGGATTTTTTTTTAAAAATCTACCAGCTGGTCCATTTCACCAGGTGCTCACATCCACACAGCTGCAGCCTTTGACTCTGTTTATTTTTCCATAAACAGCTCCTATCATGTAAGTATGTACAAAAATAAACCGATTTAATTTATTTTCTCTTTTAGAAGTTTATGATTCAAGAATGTTTTGGCTCTTGAATATTTGCTAATATAAAAAAAAAAAAGTGTATTATCTCGAGTGAAACAGATTCACATTAAACATATTATCAAAAAAAAAAGACAAATATATGATGATAGATTATATTGAAGATGAAGAGTAATGTCTCAGTGAAAAGCAGGTTGATTTATGATGCTGTTTGTCTGCTTTTTGGTCTGAAATGTGTCCAGTTTAAATATTTTTATAAAGTTTTATTCCAACTTAGAACAAAATATACACCCTATAGTCCTGCGCATTGGAAATAAAGTCCAAGTGAAATTAATAGAAGCCTGTTCAATGCCCTGAATGATAAATAGATTCAAACATCAGCGTCTCATAAATTGAACCTATTAGGCTAAAAAACAAGTTTTAGACATTAAGCCTGTAACTTTAAGCTCAAGTTAATAACCCAAGGGGATCCGTAGGTATATAAGCAGTTTTAAGGTATAACTGCTTATATATTCATGTATTCATGGATCTTCTAACTCTTTACCGATTTTAGGTCTGAGAAATATGTTTTTGGCCACAGGTTCTTTTAAATCACCCTTTTTGTTTTTTAAATAGACATACCAGATTTTCATTTCAAGTGATGTTTTTTTTTTAAGTTTACCAAAGCAGACGTTTTCATGTGAATTTCTGTCTTGTTTATGTTTGTGATGGTAGGACAGAAAAAGCTTGAATTCCTCCAAAAAAGGAGACTTCTTGATCCCCACCTAGCATTTACAGTAAACATGGGCTTATTTATCTACTGTTGTTTTAACCATTTCCTGATTGTTTATCTGCCTCACTTAAATTATATTTGCTCAACTCCTTGGCTAAAGAATATGTCTTCATTTAACGTGCTAATTATAACAGCTTATATGAATGTTCAAAAAGTCCCAACAAGCTGTACATTTTACATCTGCAGTGGAAAATGAGGATAAAACATGTCTCTAACAGGACTGCAGCTCATTGTAAAGGGAACAGACATATTTTCTTAACTTCTAAATGTAACATGTTTAAAATATTTCCTTCCTATGTTCATTGGAATGAAACTGGTCCCTTCAGCCAGACCAGCAGCAGCACAGATCTTCTTTTCTGGACTCCCATCTTACCGATTTCACCTGGAGACGCCCTTCAGCAGTAAATATGAGAGAGAAGCCCCTCCATAGGAATGCATGATTCAGGGCTCACAAAGTGATGTCATTGATAGAAACAAATTGTTTTATCAGAGACCCTTTAACCCATTGAAGAGTTACAGAGAATGTTAAATTTTCAACCTACTAGGATCCTTATTTTTTTTAACAAATAAAGCACTTTCTTCACTGTTCCTCTTTTTCTAAAAAGGAAAATGTCAAGTTTTTTTTCTAAGTTTTAAATTGTGTTGATGTCATGTCTTTCATTTAAATAAACATTTCAACAATTTTGACAAAGAATTACATGTGACTTATTTATTAATGTGGAAATGTAGTCTTAATTAAAGGTACCTTTAATTAATTTAGGTTATTTATATAAATAAACTGCACTTTACAGAGACAATTCAACAAGATCATGGAGTTTGATTGACTCAAAGTTTTCTACCTAAAGAAAACCCACCGATTGAATCAACTCGAAAGCAATCCCTCACACCAAGCATGCTTGTAGTGACAGTGGAGAGGAAAACTCCATTTTAACAGGAAGAAACCTCCAGCAGAACCAGGCTCAGTGTGAGCGGCCATCTGCTGAGGTTGATTGGGGTTGAGGGAGATAAAGAGGACAAAAAGAGATTTAAAAAATAAATAAAGGGCAACCGTCTTCCAGCTCCACATGCGGCCCTGTCCAGGAAACTCACAGCCAGGCAGACGAGCTCCCATGTCAGAGGATAAAACAGAGCACATACAGTTAGTCACAGTCAAAGAAACATGACTATATTGAAGAAACAGGCCGATCTCCAACATCTATAAACAAAGGTACTGATTGCAGCAGCACAGCTGATATTTCTCTTCAGGATGGAGTCAAAGCCAAACAGGAACAGACCAGATGAAGCTACTATGATGAGGAGAAAGCAGAGACGGCATGAAGCAGAATGATGAAGAAGGGGTCCCGATGTCCTCCAGCAGTCTAAGCCTATAGCAGCACAACTAAGGAGATAGCTCAGTATACCCAACTGTAAGCTTTATCAAAAAGGAAAGTTTTAAGCCTACCCTTAAAAGTAGACAGGGTGTCTGCCTCACAGACTGAAACTGGTAGTTGGTTCCACAGGAGAGGAGCCTGATAACTAAAGAGAACTAGGATGGGAGATATTTCTTTAATTTTCATCACAACTCTGGCTGCAGCCTTTTGGATCAGCTGAAGGCTCTTAACTACAGTTTGTGGACTTCCTGATGGTATAGAATTACAATAGTCCAGCCTAGAAGTAACAAATACATGGACTAGTTACTCAGCATCAACTCAATATTCAGGAGATGAAAGGAAATTATAGAAACCTGTTTGATCAAAAATATCACCAAGGATCTATGGAATAATATATTAATGTTCAACAAACCTGTAGGCATGTACAGGACACCTATTATATACCATGAAAAAATCCAAAGAATGAATGTGCCAATCGAGACTACTAATGGTTACCTGATGAAATAGGGCTTGATTCATTGACCATATAAGAGGCAAGTCCCTATAGAAGTGTTTGATCACTAAACTGAGCTCATCCATCTTAGCTTTTCCACCTTGCTGCAAAAGGAGAAGTCTGAGCTGTGACACTTTCTATAGCCGATTACCTCTGAACAGAACTGAGTCTAACTAGAAGTTGCTCTTTTATGGGATTTCATGCACGTGATCCATGCTTTGATGTTAGTAGCTGTATTAAACAATCATATGCAGAAATGTTCTAAGCTTAAACAGTTTGCTCTCCCCCCAGGTTTCCAGATCTCTCTGGACTTTTCAGTTCCATACGGCGAATCTTCTCGGTCCATCATTCACAGCAACATCAGATTAACCAGAAACCCTCAAAGGTCCATCCATCCATCAATGAATAAGGAGAACCAAATCACACAGTCTTGTTGATACATTTATTTCCCCCATGTTAGCACATAGAATATATTTATATACATATTGCTAGCTAAAGTGTTGGGAGCATAAAAAACATTGCCTTGGTTAATGATCGTCTACATGAGGACAGAAACGGGATCATGACCTACAAGAAGCAAAGAACAAAGGAGACGTCACACTGATTTTATTCCTGGTGTTTGTACTTTGAGTACAACGAGGATTCACGTAGTAATCACACAGTAATATATACAGAAATACCCTGGAATAAGAGCAGGTAAAGTCCGGATCAAACCACTCGCTTCTTCAGGATCAAAACGGCCTCTATATTTTCTTGGTAAAAAACAAACCAAAAAAAACTTTTTTACTGCATTTCTCAGATGAGTGCAAAAACATCTTCTCTTAATTTTAGGGAGGAAAAAGAAAAAAGATTGGAGCTGGAGGTCCAAATATAGGATTTCATGCAACGATTAAAAAAACCCAACAAAATGCCATTTAAAAAGTTACAAACATGTATGAAAAAAGTAAAAAACTAAATGTTACAGCTGGGTGGTTGAATATAAAAACAATAACAGAGGGAAAACAAGTTGGAGCTGATGTGTAAAACAAAAATAAAAGTGTCATCAGCAAACTGTGTGAGTTTGGAAGGACAGGCTACATCTTTCTGGAAAAAAAAAAAAAGCGGAAAACTTGCAAGGTGTATGAAATAAAACCAAATTCAGGATAAACAAACACAACCAGCTGATATGACAAACGTTGTACATTGTACAAAAGTTGAACGAACAGTCCTCAAGATCTTTGAATAAAACAAATTCATTTGTGAAATGTGCGTTGAACAGAAAAGCTGGGATATACTGGCTGAAGGGTGTATTTACATGTAGTGCAATGATGAAAAACAAGCTGGACTTTTTCAAAGCCTGCAGAGAACTTTGACCAGATGTTCAAAGGATAAAAAACTAAATTTGAAAACAAACCTGAACAGGTTGTTTCTCAAAGTCAAGAATGAACCACTTTTCATGGAATCCATACAACCAGAATAACCTTCTACTCAGTTTTCATAACTGGATTTGATAATTTGCATCAGGGAGGATTTTTTTATATTAATATCACAGGGGAAAAAAGCAAAAAAGATCAAATGTGCTGAATATAAACCGGCCCACAATGCAAACATTTAATGTTTCACTTTATTGAATGCTGAAAAACATGAATTGATCTTTGTGTGAAAAACGAAACATTTAAAACATAAAGAGAACTGATTTTTTTTTCTTTTGATTATCTCTCAGAAAAATGGTTAAAAGGAAAATATATCACAAACCAGCAATTTTATCACCTCTTTTCTCAAATTGAAACACCAACACTTGACATCCAGCTCAGGGGAAATGTTTTAAAAAGCTGATTTTTGCATAAAGTTTCATTATGTTCGATACCTCTTTACAACAGAGAGCTTCTGGTCGTCTTCTTTTAGCACGATGACTTAAGAAACAAAAAACAAAAAGACATCGACATGCATGCTGCCTCACTGGGAAGATGGAGGAAGAAAAACAGGCACTGACCACCAACAACAGCAGAACGCAGAGAAAAAAACCCTCTCAAACTAGACACTTTAGATCACAGAAGGAAGGATGAACTCTGAGGACAAAAAAAGATGCTGAGAAAACTATACATCAGCTTTGATCGTCCCGGTAACGAGCCAGATCTTCTCAGGTCGGTTTGACAACTGAAGGGGAGGCAATTTTTTGGCAATGATACACACTTTTTGGATCATTAGAAGATGAAATGTGGATAAAACTATGAAATATTACACTTTTCTAAGATTTAGCTCAAGAGAATTAAACTTTTTCCCAAATTTAGAGCAATTTATAAACCTTTCCTTTAATTTGAAAAGTATAAAAACAGTCTAGTCCACAGAGAACCCAAACAGGTGCAAAACCACATCCTTTATAGTAAATGGAAGATTTACTCGTCAACTCTAAAGTCAACATTTTGACCCTGTTCCCAATGAATGATTCAGGACAAAAAAATATTATTAGACATGTTAAAAAGGTGCATCCACCTGTATAAATTTATATCATATAATAAAAAAAAAGAAAAAATGACCTAAAATGACTTAAAAGTCTGTAAGCCTGAACATCACCAGCTCATAATGCTACAGATGGTTTTTCTAAATGAAAGCAGAGCTTCTTCCAACTGCAGTTTGTTTGAAATATTCCTGGCCTGTTTTATACATTTATAGTAAAAAGAAAAAAAAAAATTCCTTTTTCTTTTTAAATTTTGGAAATAAAATGTTTTCTGTTAATGCTTACATGTTCCTACAGATTTAAATAACATCTTCTGACACAACATCAGCATCTCATTGAAGAAAACAAACAAAAGCGGGACAGTTGGACCATAACTCTGCAGACGAGCTACGCTCCTCAGAAAGCCGTTTACGATTCAGGAGGAAGGAAAAAAAAAAAAACGAAAAACACGTTAAATAACAGAACCGAAACAGGAGCAAAACACTCGCAACGCAGTAAAATGTTCGTTCATAAGAGCTTCCAGGAAGGCGAAAAAAGGAACACCGGGGAGAAACGTGTGTGTTGACTGACTGAAAGGAGAAGAGGCTGACAGCCAATGAGGTGCAGAGGGCGGGGCTTGCTCATCTCTTCCTGCGGCAGGTTCGTTTGTGGTCCGCGTGCCAGTGCTCCTGCTGACACTTGATGGAGCAGTACGAGGTGTTCCAGCAGCAGTGGTACATGGCCTCCTCTTCACAGTTATAACACTGCAAACAAAAAATACCCCATTAGCAAAGATTGTTTACAAAAACAACAACTAATAGAACTTACAGGCCAAAAACTACACGGAAAAACTCAAAAAAATGTATTACAATCAGATTAAATCAAGAGTGAGGCATTTTATAACACTAATTAGGTTTGAGAAATGTTTATGCTTTCCGTATTCACCAAGTAGAATTAAAGTAGTTTTATTTTGGGGATCAACTGCAGAAAAATTTCAGCTACATCTGGAAACCAACGTCTGTATTTAGTTTTAATAAAGCAATTAAACTTTGGGTTTTACTTTTAATTTGGTCTTCACTGATCTGGAACAAACTACCAAAAGACAGTTAAAGGGCTGAAAGCCTTAGTTAAAAAAAAAGAAGTTAAAAGCTCATTTAATTAGAGCTGCATCTGACTGTGAAAAGTTAAACTGTTAACTGATCATTAGTTTAAGTCTGTGGTTAAACTGTTTGCTTTACTACCTGCTGTTATGTTTTTATCTTTATTTGCTTTTATTCTATTGTTTAATTCATGTAAAGCACTTTGAACATTCTTTGTACTGAATGGTGATATATAAATTACATTTCTAATTCACAAACTGGTATTTTGTTCCAGCTGCTTCACCTGAATCTCTCCACTGTGGGACAATTCCACTCTTCTAAAAGCAGCTTTGTCGGCTCTCATGGTCTGCCAGGTAGGTGTGGGTATATTTATGAAAACAAAAGGTAAGCGGACATCCTCCCCATTAAAAGATATTTTTGTCATTTTTGCGGAGAATATTTTCACTGTTGTTATTCATCAGGGTTTATACAGAAATGAGTAACTCTAATTTAATGCTTTTTTTAAACGCCCATTTAATGCTCTTAGAAACTATTTTAATGCCATCAACAATGACCCATGAATCATGTTTATTTATATATATCTCAACTTAACGTCGACAGGCTGCATCCATGTCCCAAATTCCTCGTTTTCCAGCCACTTTTGTACAAATTTCCATTTTCCCATTGACTAGCTTTTTCTCCGCCTCGAGTTTGTTTTCTGAACATACGGCTTTAATTGGAAGCAGTTACGCGCAAACATGCAGAGCTGTCTACACCACTTATATCTGACGAAATTGTTTGTATAAATGTTTTTTTTTAAGCATTTTAAATGCCACTATAGTCGCATTTAATGAATTTTAATGCAAATTAAGGCCATAATTTAAAAAATAATAAGTAAATGACTTTTAATGATTTTTTTATGACCCGCAGAAAGCCTGCTCATCTGGATGAAGCACCTGTGCCTGTCGACCAAACCTGTATCATTCCTGAACCGCAGTAATTAAACCTTTTTAAATGTAAAACTTTCAAATGTTCTCCATATTCTCCTAAAGTTGTGTGATATTTTATTATTGTTATACTTAATATTCATTCTGCACAAATGATCCCCAGTTGTCAATGTGCAGCTTCTAACTGTATGACAGGTACAGTATTACTAGAGCCATGTTTGCGTATTTAGCACAATAAGAAAGGAAGTTTAAGTTAAGCTGAGTTTTTCTGTTGTTTGTTTTTTTACAAAAAGGTAATACTGTAAAGCCTTTTAGTTTCCTTTTAAATGGACCCTTATTTAAAACACATTTACTGACTCTTGATGGCTGCTGGTTGAAGGTCGGTTCCCTTCACAAAGGAGCGTGACCGAAGCAGGATCCAGTCTGGGGGGTTCTGCTGGGTTTGTTCTCATGTGCTACCGATGCCCATCAGTTCAATAAATACATTTTTAAATTGCCTGTATGTCCAATTTGTTCAAACTCCAATCCTTCCATGCTTCATCAAATTTATCAGCATTTAAAGGAGAAATAAAAAACCTTTTCATCACAGTTGTCACACAATTACAGATTTCATTAGTTTTGGTGCTAATCTCCATTTTTAAACCCTGTAATTCTGGTTTCAGCCCCGTCTTTCTCTGTTACAGTCTCCGTTTGTGAGATCAGTGTCATTCAAAGAGCCTGAGAAAGATACGTTTGTTTCCTCTGAGTGAAACCTAACAAAGGCTACGTTCACACTGCAGCCTGAAGTGGCCCAAATCCGATTTGTTTTGCCCATATGCGACCTGTATCTGATCTTTTCATGGCTGTCTGAACAACACAGATCCCATTTTTTCCCATGCAACCCAGGCCACTAGGCTATGTGGTCCTGAATCCGATACGAATCTGATGTTTTCAAAGCCTGCAGTGTGAACATAGCCAAAAGGTGTCCTTTCAGTTCTGCAGGTTTAGTTGCAGAGACAGAAAAAAAAATTACCATCGCTTTGGGAACCAGCTGACAAACTTTTAATTCTACTCTAACATTAATAATCAGCTTATTTATAGAATTTTGTGAAGTTTGCACACAGAGGAGGAAGGTCTCCACTGAATCCTCGTCTGTGTTTCCTGATGCGGCGCTTTATCTGGTATAATCATTACCGTAAGTGGAGGTCTGAACTCACCCACTGCTTCTTCTTGGTCTGGGAGATGAGCTGTTTGTGTTGGGCCACCAGCTTCTTCACCTCCTCCACCAGCTCCTCTTTACATTTGTCCTTCACCTGTTTGCACTTTCTCTCCATCTCGGCCTGAACTCCGGCCACCGCCTTGCTCACCGCCTGCCGTTTCTCCTCCTCCATCTCTGTTCGAAGCTGCAGGAGGAGGACAAAGAAAAATGAAGGCACTTCAGGTTTGAAGTTGAAATAATGAATAAAAATATTTCCTGGGTGCTTTAGAAAACAAACCTTCTCCAGAGCTTCTCTGACGACTCGCTCCGTCTCTCTCTTGTTGTCCGCCTTCATCATCTCCTTGACGTCATTGAAGACCTTGGTGTATTTCTCGTGGCACATGTTCTGGCAGGCGACGTCGCTGTTGGTCTGGGTGCCGCGGTGCAGCATGCGTGGCGAGCCTCCGCTGGCCTTCTTGGTCTGCGTGGACACAGACAGCTTCTCAGGCTGCTGGGGGGCTGACGACACCGGGATCTCCTGGCTGGAGCTGACCGCCTCCATCTCTGGCTCTGGTTCCTGGAGGGGAAGAGACGAACCAATCACATCATCTGAACAGATTTACGAGGTGCTGAAGCTGTTAGTTGCTTCTCCAACGCTTTAGGGATGTCCTGATCCAATATTACTGTCAGATATCGGTCCAATATTAGCAAAAAAATATCGGAATTTATTGTCTGGCATCAAATCTCTGATATTTTCATCCTGGTAGAAAGACTCTGCTTCTGTTACAAGTCGGTTAACTTTAAATGGGTAAATAGTTTTATACATTCATTCCCTGGTTTAGTGATACTACTCCATCGGTATCGTAAATGAAAAAGTTGCATCGGGACACCCCTCAATCACTTGAACTGAAGTTTATTTTCCTCTGTTCTACTTGTTTTGGTTTGACCTGGACCGAGGACAGGTTCCGACTGGTTAGAGCAGACACTGGTGTAGCTCAGTGAATATTGGTGAATTTTAATGCCTTGTTAAATCTTAGTGATCAGAACACACCAGACCAGACAGCCTTAAAATCTGCTTCTCTTTATTCACCTTAAAATAATCGAAGGCCTGATCAGATCAAAAGGCTGAGGATTCGGTCGGATCAGAAGAGGAGAGAGGTGGTTTTTACTGATCAGCATTCCATTAAGCATCCATAAACAAACCTATTTGGATCTTTGGAGTAAAATAATCCCTCTGCTTCCCCCTGGTTTTTCTGCACGCACTTAAATGATTTAATCTGCTTGGTACATGTATACAAGCCTCAGGATCGGATCCTTTTATTTAGTGTCTATGTAAACAGGGTTTGAATTTCCAATCGACCAAGGTTTAGATCTGATCGGGGAAAATTCCGCCAATATAAACTAAGCTAAAGATATTTGTAACAAAGGTAGATCATCCTTCTATAGATCAAATTCCCTCTGTCTTATTTGTTATTTTGATACCACATCAAAAGAACTTTCCAGATTAGAAAAATCTCCCCCATGTCGCCATATTTGGGCTCCTGAGGACGATGAGTGGTTAACCTCCAATCAAAAGATCCCATTTCTTTCTTCACTGGAGGTTCACTCAAGGAATCTGATTAGTTTACCAACGACATCCTTTCACTCTCTTTGGTCTCCCAGCCAGACTTTTATCTTTTCCACCTTTATATACATTTTCCCGATGCTTATATAGATCTAATTCTATGCTTGATGCAAGCATTGATATTGGTTCCTGTTTTGATCGCCTCAACTCTCGATACAAGTATGCCTCCTCCCTACCCCAAAGGTTATATGGTCAAAAAGACTGAGGTCTGATGTATCACAAGTTCTATATATATATAAAGTTCAATTATCATTATTATAATAGATTGCTTATATTGTCGCTCTCTCACTCTGTAGCTTAAAGATCAAGTAAAGGAATCTGTTGTTTCTCTGGCTGACTGGCCTTAAGCAGCCTTGTGTTTCCCATTGCTGTAACACTAAAATTAATTGTCTGTTCACGCTGACCTCATTCAGTCTTCTTCATAAAACTCCCCGTCTGACCGCAGTTCAGCCAATAAGAGTTAGTTTATAGCACAGCAGCAGACTGTTTTATAGTGATGAAGGCTGGAACTTACACTGACTTCTTCTTTGGGTTCAACAATTAGAGTCCTGCGGCTTTTCTTGGCTTTGGGCTCCTGGCTGCTTTTCATCTGCAGGAATATAAAACAGCATTTAAATCAACCTCATTAGTTCACATAGAGGAGGGAAACATTTAGATGGACCAACAACACTGCAAATTGGGAATGTAAACGGTGAAATTTCCTGATTTGTTTTTAAAACATCAGCTGTTCCCATAAAAAAAAAAAAAAAACTCAAGCTCAAAAGTACACACATTTATTACTTAAGTAGAAGTATAAATACTGCAGTTTAAAAACACTCTGGTAAAAGTTGAAGTATCAGCTTGACCTCTTTACTCAAGTAAAAGTGAAAAAGTATGTGCTCCGAAAACCATTTAAAGTATAAAAGTATAAAGTAACCTTTAAAAAAAAAAAACAGCCAGATGCCACTATATGAATTGAAAGCTCAATTTTTTTACTATTTTGCAAAATTCTTTGAGATAGGGCCAAGGATGGTCTTGTTGGTCTCCATCTCCCGATACGCTCTCGCCTGTGTCCGACCTTTTAGACATTTCAGCATCTTTTTCTGAATCCCACATTATAGCATGGCATAGACAATTCACGTTTGCAGTTTGAAGAACACCTGCTTGCTTCTGATGATTTCCTTTAGCTAACCAATGAGTGTTTGCGTTATATTACTCATCCAATTACACTAGTTTTCACTAGATGTGGATGGAGCCAATGATCTGCATTGGATGGAGCACGTGATGTGAAATAAATATTAATAAACATTAAACCGAAGCCAAGAGTAACGAGTAACGTTTGTTTTAAAAATGCAAGGAATAGAAAGTACAGATACTTGTGTGAAAATGTAATGAGTAGAAGTCAGAAGTAAGAAGAAAAATAAGTAATGGAGTAAAGTATAGATACCTAAAAAGTGTACTTAAGTACAGAAACAATTTTACTTTGTTACTTGAAACCCCTGCTTAATAAAGATGTATTCCTTTCCACTGTAACTCTGCTTCTTGTTTTTAAGGAGGTATTGCTTGCACGGTAATTGCTACTTTTTAAAGACAGAAAAACTTTAATAAAACAAGATTACTGAACAAAGAAAACAAAAAGATCTGTTTTTATATTTTACATATACATATATATATAGTTATATACATATATATAGTTATACAGATATATGTATATTTTCAGTGTTCCACATTAAAAACAATGTGACTAAACTGACAACATGGGCAAAAATCCAGACCATAAAAATAGGAGATCATAGATACTTCAGCTAAAGTGATATTTCACCACTAGGTGGCGATATTAGACCTGTATTTGGTTTAGCAGAAACACTTCTGGCCAGTTTAATATTAAAGTGAACTCTAGCTGTGTGTCTGCAGCATAATGTGATCAACTCTCCTTCATATCTGGTGTCTCACACTTTTAATGTTTAACCTGCTGAGATCTGCACCATGTTTGATTCCCAGACACTGAGAGCATTGCTCCATAAATAAGAAGATGGGGCCACTCACATGGCGGATCTGCTCATTGCTGGTGGAGGAGATGCTGGACTCAGCTTCATCCGTCCTCTCCGGTCTCCGTTCCGGCCTTGTGCTGGCTTCCTCCTCCTCTTCTTCTTCTTCCTCTTCCTCCTCCTCTTCCCGCTGCTGCCGCTGGCTCTGTTGATGTGGCTGAGAGCCGTCTTCCATCTTTGTTTTCCAGAATCGACCCTCCCTCAGAAAGCGCTGGTACACCTCCAGCTCCTCGCACGCCTTCTTCCAGCCGCTGCTGCGTTTCACCTGCAGTTGTTGGACGCTCACCTTGATGTCCTGGATATTCTCTGAAGGAATCCAAGCTCTATGGACAGGAAGTTAATTACTAAGCAGAAATCAAAACAACAAACCAAATCTGATTTGCAAAAGCTGCTAGGTGTATTAGCTGTTCTGACCTCTGGTGCTGGTGTCCAAAGAAGCGTACATCCACTTGGTTGTCTTCCCTCTGCAGGACTTTGGCCGGCCAGTAACCAAAACCCTTCATCTTTGCCCAGACCAGGTCGTGGCTCGGAGTCTGCAGATGTAACACAGAAAAATAAATCCAGACACAATAGAACCTCCAAACCTTCCTTTTCATCTGCATAACTGATGCTATTTAATATGGTTGAGATGTGATTGGTTTATACTCACACAGGGATAACAGAACCAGTTTTCAGGACGGGCGTTCGACAAGTAGAAACAGTTCTTACACAACAACAACTCATTCAACTAGAACAGACACCAGAGAAAGGAAATAGTTAATAGTTAAATAATTATTCAGAAACTACATTGTTTCATTCATTCAAAATAGTTTTTGTGTCAATATAAGATTAGAAGTCAACATTAAATATTCATCTCATTGTTCAGAACAAGAGTGAGACTAATTAATGTACCTCATGGCATGTGTCACTGAAGAGCAGCCGTGCAATCTCTGCCTGGTCGCTGTGGACTGCAAAAGGAAAGGTAAAAACGGAGAAGAATTATTTTGCTGGGTTCTGAAACTTTTTCCAGATTATTGAGAAAAAAATTTTTAGTTTATAGGAGGAGTGGCAGCCTAGTGGTTATGTCATAGGGCTTGGAATCCTGAGGTTTTGAATTGTAGCCCCACTCCCACAGCCTGCCACTCTGGGTCTCTGAGAAAGACCCTTAACCCCACACTGTTCCCTGAGCGCCCCACAGTGGCAGCCCACTGCTCTCCAAGGGGATGGGTTAAATGCAGAGGTAAATTTCTCCAATGTGAGATCAATAAAGTTCAATTATAATTATTATAATTATTCAAACCTCCCATATTCTTGAAGGCAAATATTTCCATCGATGCTTCATTCTTTCCTGGCAGTGGCTGCACTTTATGTACTTAAGTTTCTACTATTCTTTATCATTTTTGGGGAAGGGGGTCTCATGATGACAATTATCCATTCACCAGTTCTTTTTTATAGTAGAAATAAAAAAAAAAAAAGCAAAACTATTATCCCTAACTGCATAATAAACTTATTCATTAGATTTGTTTGGCTAAGGAACTCTCGTCTTTGCATTTTTAATATGTGAAAAACAAAAGACCCGCATGCTATGCTCAAGTAAATTACTTTTGATTTTGCCTATTTTCTGAGGTGATCAGATTGGGTGAAAACAGTGTTTCTGATGAGCAAAGAGGCAGGTGAATGTTTAGTTGTTAATAAATGTAAAGAAAAATGAAGAATACTTTGAAATTAAAGCTGTGAAAGTCTGACCCACCTCCATACAGGATGGCAGTGTTATGAACAATCATCTGAGCATCAGCCTTGAACTCCTCAAAGCTTCTATATTTTCCTTCAGTCAGGTTCTGAAAGAGGGAAATACATGGAGACGAGCTCAAAGTTAGTCCTGAGGAGAGAAAACCAACACAGAGAGGTCTATTCACATACAGGGTGTGTGACTGTGTGTGTTTAATGACCGGCGAGGAGGAGTCTAGGAAAGGGTAGTCTGCTTATCAAAAACACACAGCAGTCTGGGCATTAATCCAACAGTTCAGGTAAAAGTTTCCAGGTATGATGCACCACTGACCAAACATTCCCATTAAAAGAAGCTTATTTAAAAAGAAAGTTTGGGATTTATGCATATAGTTTCTCTCTCAACCACAGTCCAGTAATAAAAAGGATTTAAAGCCTTAATTACAACATTCAGTGAAGCTCTAAAACACTTGATTAATCCCAGGGTGAAAATCAAATGCGGTAACTACAAATAAAAGGGTTCCAGCTGTGGGTGGGAGGGATCTCCTGTAGCAGTCTGCATTACAGCAGGTCTGGAAAGGCCTCTGACTGAAAACAGAGGTGTTCAAAAGTCGAAGAGGATGTTCAGGATTTTACATAATGTTCTTCATTTTATGAACAATTCTTCTCTGAAGTTTAGGAGCTTCCAGAACAGAAAGTATATAATATGTACGTATTTACAGCCTGCTTTATAAACCCAGCGCAGCTTTGCAGCCTTTTTCAGACACAAACTAATTCATTTCACACAGAATTTGGGGCAATTAAAAAGATCTGTGATCTGAGCTTTGTGCTTTAAAGCTACACTTTCTGACAAAATCCAAAATGGTGCCATCAGCAACTGTTTCACTCTTACCTTCACTGTCAGGTAAATGAGACTGAGAATATAAATGAATTGCCTCTAGCCTAACCCAACTCCAGGTCATTTTGTCCCTTTAGCAATTCCTAATGCTGTTTCAGACCTACACTGAGGAAAATAAATATTTGAAGACCCTGGTATTTTGCAAGTTCTCCCACTTAGAAACCATGGAGGAGTCTGGAATTGTTATCATAGGTGCATTTCCACTTTGAGAGACATAATCTAAAAAATATAGAAATCACAGTATATGATTTTCTTATTATTAATTTGCATGATACAGCTGCAAATATGTATTTGAACACCTGAGAAAAACAATGTTAATATTTGGTTCAGCAGCCTTAGTTTGCAATTATAGATGTGAAATGTTTCTGGTAGCTTTTTACCAGGTTTGCAAACACTGCAGGAGGGATTTTGGCCCACTCCCTTACACAGATTTTCTCTAGATCAGTCAGGTTTTTATTCTACTTAAATACACTGCAGTCTCCCTGTCCCATGTGCAGCGAAACACCCTCAAAGCATGATGCTACCACCCTCATGCTTCACAGTAGGGAGGGTGTTCTTGGGATGGTACTTATCATTCTTCTTCCTCCAAACACAGTTAGTCGAATTATGACCACAAAGTTCGATTTTGGTCTCATCTGACCCCTAAACCTAACCATTACCAATGCACACCTCATCCTAACCCAATTGATACCTCAGCCCTAAACCTAAACGTTAGCAAAATAGCATGTGAGGACCAGAAAAATGTCCTCACTTAACAACAATAAGTCCTCACTCTGAGGGCTAGAGAGGTGCACCCACACACACACACGTGTCCTAAAAGTTGGGGTTTGCCAAAATGAAGCTATATTACTTCCTTAACTATCACCTTGAAATGCTTATACAGCTTTTAACTATTTAGACATTGTATCTTTAAAAAGATAAATAGCTTCAGGTTGGAAAAAACAGCAGTCAGCTCTGATTTTTTTAGATCTGAATAACATTACCAAATTGCAGAGATAAAAACATCTAACCCTTCCTTATGAGGCACATTCATGGAGAAGAAGTTCAGTTTTATGATCATAATTCTTTCAGGAAGCAGGTGTGGAGTATTAGTGTTACCTCTTGGATGTTGGAGACGTCCAGTGCGGTGTGGATCAGCCGTTTGTACATGGGGTGTTTAGTGTCTTTGCCCTTTTTGTTCAGGTCCACTGCCTACAATGGAGAGCCAGGATACACATTTAGTGTGACATCATAAACAGGGGTAGGGCTGTTGAGAAGCGAGAACGAGCCAATTGGGATTATGAAGAGGCAGAAGCAGAGAGGAGTATTTAAAGGTGAGCTTCACCGTCCTTTTAGGGAGTAAAAGAGACATAAAGGGGGAGACATAAGAGGAATGTGAACAGAAAACTGCATTTATTCTAGAATAAAACAGTATAAACAGACTTTTGCCTAGTTGGGTGAATGCTAATAATTAGTGTACGCAGTTGCTATGAAAAAATATGTGCAGCCTTAAGGCTGATTTATACTTCCAAACCAGGTCCTCTGCATAGGTGTCGCAGTGAAAAAAAAGCCGTCCCCGCCCCCTCTGCAGACACTCCGCTGCACCTCTCTCAAATTGTAACTGACCGCAGACAGTGCCGCAGGCAGGAGGTCGGCTTGTTTTATTTTTATGACCTAAATTGCGGAAAACAACTTGTGAAGTTTGAGCAGCTAGAAGAGAGAGGTGCGCGAGAACGCTGGGACCCTTTTTCCACCGTTGTCGAACTAAACTTGCCCCCACTTCCACACCGCCTCGGCCGTATCTAGACCCTCAGCTAGTTCCTGATTGTCCCTCTTGCGTTGTGTCGTGGAATAACATAGCACAGACCACGCTTCAATATTGGGCATAAATCCAAAATATCTGCGACAAGCTCACTGCGACACACTGCTGCGGGAGGATAACCAGCCAGTAATAAGCATAAGGATTTCTCACCCTCTCCTTCATCCGTTGGACGATGAAGCGCAGATATTTACACATTTCCTGTTTGTTCAGGTTCTTCTTTTTACTCCCCTGGAAGAGAGAAAAACTGCAGATGAGGTGGTTTTAAATGGTATAAAAAGCATTTTATTAACTTACTTTTAGAACAAACATATTATAGAACTCAAAAGAAGAGCATAATTCTAAAGGCCATAACATTTATAAGCCAGAGGCTGGTAAAACAGAATTTAATGACGGAATTGAGAAGAAGAGTAAAGAAAATAATACCACAGAAAGCAATAAAGATGCAAAACTGGTGCTTTAAAGTTATTGAACCATTCAGATGCATAAATCACTTACACTAATTAAATGTATTGTTTTGAATACAAAAAAGAAACACATTTCCTGGAAGACTTAAAACCTAAAACACATTTTATTTCTCTCTTAAAATATTAGTAGAGAAAAAGAACTGAATGTTTTCCAGGAACAAATTCCGAAACAGCTCAGTGATCAATTTGGTCAAAACATGTCTCTGAATTGTTGATATATTAGAAACAATAATCCCACCCACCCTGCACACGACGCACTGCCAGTGGGAGCCTCCGTCTCTGGGCTTACATTCCTCTGGCAGACATTTGATGTGGTAAACCCGGAAGCAGTTGTCACAGGGGAGGACGTCGCCTGGTAGGTGACAGTCGAAGCAGTACCAGTCGTGGCTCTCCGTCTCCCAGTCCTGCAGAGGACAAACAGCAGAGCACAAGTTTGGGTGACCCCCCCCTCCAACCTGCCAACTGCAGCAGGGGAGGAAACTAGTTTCTCAATCCTCTGACCTACATCTAACAAGTCTGTATAGAGGGATCCTCTAAATGACCCTGAGTGCAACTGCAACACATGGTGACTCTGCTGTGGTGTATTTGTCTCTATAAACCGCCATATCACTATAGTGCTACACTGGTTAACCTCAATTCACTAAAACCTTTCTCAGGTGTTAAAATATGCTACAAAATTAAAATCATGCCTGGGATGAGACTTTACCTCAAACAAACCACCATAAAAATAAAAAGTGCTGCAAACAAACAACTTTGGGTCAAGAGGCGACCAATAAATACAGCTGCCTTCCGCTCTGAAAGCACAAGAGAAACCTCTTTAACTAAGAGCAAAGGTCGATCAAACTATAGAAGCTGCAGAGAAGCAAAGCTAACCAAACATGTTCAATTCATAAACATCAGCACAGTTTTTAAGACGGCAGGTGATATAAAATACGGTGGCTTTAAAACTACTGCATGGTTATATTAATTAGATCAACAAGCTAAACACTAGATATTAACAAACATGTGGGTGTCACCTGTAGATATTTGGGGGGGAAGGTGTTCCCCAAAGCTTAATACTAGGACCACTGTGTTCAATTTTTAATAACCATCTTTATCTCAACCATTAATAGCTTCAGAGTTAAAACTATTGCTGCAGATCTTTCTTAATCTACGAATTGCTCTATTGCTCTTCACTATTAACAACCAAGTAATAACCTCTATTTATATTAAAAACAACAAACTTTTGTGAAAGTGAAAAATAGTGAATTCTGTAACCAAATTGTCTTATAATTTGCACCATTCTGAAACTGCTAATACATTACCAGTAGGGCTGCAACTAACGATTATTTAAAATTGATTGATCAGTCGATTATTTTTTCGATTAATCAGTTAATAATCAGATAGCAAAAGGTTCCTTAAAGATTTCTTTAATGAAATTAAAATCAGGTAAAACTAAGACTTTTCCACTTACGGAATTCTTGATAGAGCATATTGACAGACAGATTTTCTTTTATCTTAAATGCAAAATATTTATAGATTGTCTTACAATTTTGGTATAATTACTGCTCTAAGTGGGTTGCTCTGTCAGCTAAAGGCACGTTTTACACTTGCTTAGTTGATAATTATTTAAATAATCAATTGAACCGATTAGTTGCTTGAAGGGTTTTTTTTTTTGCATGAATGTACATAAAATCAAATACATTGCTCAAACCCACCACATAACTATATATTAACACGTTTAAGCATTACTAGAAATAACTTATTTATCATTAAAATAAAGTTCTCCTAAGTGATATATAAACCTTGTAGGAATTTAAATTCTTTTTTTCTGTTTTTTTTACCAGCGCCTAGATCTGCACCGACACTGTTATGTAGTAGATTAAATATAATCAAAAGACTGTTTCTTCCACATACTCATGCCGAAACCTCCCACGCAACGTCTGGGACAATTTATGAGTGGAATGCCGGAAATGTTGAACCAACTGCAGCTTATTAAAAGCAGGATGAATTAATAAATACTTGAATAAAACCACTCTGATCTCATCTTTATGTTTTGCTCCATGTGCTATGACCCTTGATACGGCTTCTTTAATGGTGTAAATGTAGAGACTGTCAAGCACAAGGCACTCAGAAAAGGTTGGGGTTTTCTGCTGCATATGTCATCAAATTAGAAACATTTCTAGAGCAAATAAGGAACCTTTCCTGCTTTTACGATATCCACCGGAACCATGAACAAACATGTTTGATCAGATGGCATCAAACTCATTAATGCTATTAACACTTTAAACCAACTGGAAACTTTACTTCATATAAGGAGGCATGGCCAAGGGGTCATGGTGAGGTTACCTTTTTGCAGCTATGGTGGAAGTAGAGATAGATCAATCCACATTTTAAAACAGAAGAACTTTCATTCTCATTCAAAAACTGATAAAAGAGGGATCAAAATACAAGCCCTATGGGGACTGAACACGCTGTGAAATACACAACAGATTTCCCAAAGGACTGCTACTTTCTAAAGCTTAATAGACACTTCACTGACACAAACACTTCAACATGTATGGATGGTTCTTGTGCTCTTTAAAAATGTGTCAAGAGCTGCTTTCCTGTAGTTAGAGAGTGATCAAAGCTAAGTGGCATAGCGCAGAAAGCTACAGCTCTCTGGGCCAAGGACGTGCTTCCCCAGGTCTCATTCAAATCACTTTAGCATGAACAACTTTATCAGTGAAAACCATGCACTCACAGCTAGTTTATTAGGTACACCATACTAGGATTGTATATTTCATTTACTACAGATTTTATCAGTGTTAAAAAATCTCCATGAAGGATTAGCAGCATACTGAGATGCCTGCATGGTGGAGTTGCTTAAATTATGCAAATATCTCCTTCCACCCAAATGAAATGTGGTGACTATAAAAGACACTGGTGTAGGGTTCACTGGGGTCACACAGGGGCTAGAAGGCGATCAACAATACTGAGTTAGCCTGCAGTGTTAAATGATGCTCCTGTCTATTAAAGGGGCTTAAAAAGTGCCACAAAATATGCAAAAACAAACCTAAATAACTTTTTGGTTGATAAAGGGTAAAACAAATCAACCTCTGCATGTTGTCATCAAATTAACATGACATGAATCTGAAATCTAGCCTGATAAACCAGACTAAATGTGAGATTAAATGTGTAATTTAGTCTGGCCCCAAAGAATGAGACATTGGAAGATTGTTGATGAGAACAACCCGTTGTTTTTCAAACCGCTGTCTGTGCCTATTGGCCGACGCTCTGGCCAATGAGAGCAACTGGCTGTGACGTAGGAAGCGCGACAGAAAGCTGTTGGGGGAGTGTAAACAAACAGCCTGTCGATAAAACGGCAAATACATCCTTCTTAAAAATGAATGAGAGCCTCTTCCTGCTCACGTTTCAACGAAAACCCCAAGCCTAATCCTTCAAAACTGATTCTAACGCTGAGTCAAAAATTGCCATCAGAGCCAGCGGTCCTTCACACTCACGACTATGCCGAGAGAGGGCCCCTGCAGACGGGCTGTGGTTAGCCCTGGCTGCCATTAGCCTCGGAGATCCGCTGGTTGCCGCGGTCCTCTCAACTTCGGAAATAGCTTTTTTTTTTTTATTACGCATTAAATTGGTAAATGGACCATATAGTGACACTTTAGAGTATAATATTCTCGCCTCAAATGATCTTAAAATTGACTTTTATTGAACAACAGCAAAAGAAAAGAGAAACTTAACTTTCAATGGAGCGCTCCATTGAAAGCTGCTGCTGCCGCTATGCATGCTACGGTTCACGTCACGCCCTCAAATCCCCGCCCGCTTTGCATCCAAAAATTCAAAACACATCTCTGCATTGTGATTGGCCTGCCGGTTCTAGGGCCTGGGGCATTGAGCGAGACTAGACCCACTCGCAGGCGGTGGTGGGGCTAGTCTACTAGGCTAGCTGAAATCATGAATCACTGGGTCATAAAATATTCTTCAACCAGTTACTGAGTCTCTGAATAAGGTAGCTTCCATCTTTCTAGATTTATCTGCCACAGAAACAGACGAGGACGCCATCAGCTTATCCAGCTCTCTGAGAAATGTCCACTTTTACCATAAACAAGTAGTTATTAGAGCTACAGATGTCTTACTTTAACCAGGAACTACTTATTCTCCTCTGACATAAGATATTTTTGTCAAAAAAAACCTGACATTAAGTGGATATCTTTTGTGTTTTGCAAACAATTCGGTTAATATGAGACACAGCTGTTAAAGAATTTATTATTGAGGCTATGAGGAAAAATCTGTTCAACTCAGTCCTGAATGAAACCATAAATAATCTGATGACCGTTTGAGAACGAAGATACATTTGAGAAAACAGGCATCTTCTATGAATCACAGATATCTACTTTCAGAGAAATATAATCATGAAAGAGATTGTGCAATATTAGTTTAGACATGGAGCTGAACAATAATAATGCATTTATAGAAATAAAACATATATTTAAGATTGATAAATTAAGCTTCATACCTTTCAGATAACCACTAAAGGTCCTGCATTTTTTTAAATATATTTATTTTAAGATTATTTTCATAAAAAAAAAAAAAAGCTGAGTGTAAATCAGAAGCTGATCATGCTGGTAAAACCCGGACTCAATCCAGTCTGGCCTGAGGTAGAGAGTTTAAGTTAAAGCTTTTTTTAAATGTTGTGTTTGAGATTTAAAGGCAGCAGGTTTCTGATTGAGGAGCAAGTAGTCCTGAGGTTAGGGAAAGGACGCAGCTCATGCCAGCTGGACTGAATCCAGGTACCAGTAGAGGGATAACTGGCCTCCAGCTAACGACTCAGCCTCACACTGAAACTTTGTTCTGTCCTGAAATAACCAGCAGGACGCGTCACCAGCGGCAGCCATTGAGAAAACTACAGAGAAGCACAGACCCGGCCTCTGGTTCCCTCCCATCTCCACAGTTTCAATCAGTGCAGAATAAGCATGCCAGACAGAAGTTAAGATCACAGCAGGACACATTCTTCTGAAAACTACAACTACCAAAACCAGAATACTACAAATTCACAAGCGCTGGTTACCAACCTGCAGCTAAACTGCACCTGCTTGACATTCTGTCAAAATAATAATCAATTGCATCATGTTTATCTTGTCTGAAGACAAGCTACAGTTTTTGGTGTTTTTAAGCCAAGCAGCAGCAAATCTGCAGGTAGGCAGCCTGCAAATTTTTCATCAAAATGATCGGTCATTTAGGCAAGAAATTTGGCCACCTGGACACAGCGCCTCAACAGACTATCATGAAGTTTTTTACAGCAGAACTGGATCACAGCGAGCAGCTTAAGTCAGTGTGATGACGGCGGAGCTGTGAGCAAGCATGCAGAGACATTTCCAAATGGAAACCAGAGACTTTTTTAGCTTCTACCCAGGGTGATAAATCCCCTTGAATAAAGCAGGTGGATTTCCCCAGCTACAAAGAGTAGAAGAAAATTTATTTTCCACCATTTTTTAGAATTAGTTTTATAAAAACCAACGTAATGCTTTTCTGAAGCCTGCTTGTAAAAAAGATTCACTCAAATCTTTGAGCGCGCTGCTTGCGGCAGGTCTGATTTCTCACACAGTGATGTTAGTCAGGTGGGGGGGAAGGGGGGGAGAAAAAGGGGCTCAGATGAGAAACAAACCCTGGTTTGGAAATAACAATGCAGCCCTTACCTTGCTTCCCTCGGCTTTCGGCTCCTGTGGTTGCAAGTGATTCAGAGAGCAGTGTTTAAATGGAGCTAAGTGACCTGAGCTCCTCTGGACATCTCTAGCATATCCTCAATTTTTCACAGTTATACATATATTTGGTACTGATGCAACTACAGACAAAATGTACATAATATTCAATAGTCACATGGAAATTCAAGTTAAGCTGGAGTTAAAATAAGATTTAAAAAATATTTGACATTTCTTTTATTTCTATAACAAATTGGCTAATAGTTGTATGTATTCCCAAACATAAACAGTGATAATAACATTGAAGTGACCAAGAATGAAGAATAAAACATCTTAGATACATTTTTAATCAAATTTTAATTTCACTTTTTTGAAAAATGTTAAAAAGTTACAGAATTTGTCAGAAGGCTATACATCTAAAAACCTAAAACAAAATAGTGGAGGAAGATTTTTAGAAACAGATTTGAAATATGAGGCCCTTTAAAAGTATTGACACCCCATGAACTTCACTACAAGCCACAAACTTTTGGTGTTTACATATTTGTTGGGATTTTATAAGATAGCCAAAACAAAATACTTAGTTGTGAAGTTCGAGGAAAATGGTAGAAGTCTAATGCTGCGTTCACATACACCGTGATTTCCATGAGCCCTAAAGGTATTTTACCGCTCCAGGTTTCAGGTTCATTGTTTACACCCTGGGCCACATCCTCATATAGGAGGAGCTTCAGCTGCGTGAAGTTCACTTGGAAAAGTGACAATAAATAAATTCCATAGCGATATCATGTCAACTCCCGTCGCCCTGCAGGGGACCAAAACATTTTGGCTGGCCAGCCAGGCCAACAATGCCCCTATAAAGCTTGGAACTCAACTCTATTTCTGACATTTTGAATTGAAAAAAGCAAACTTGATGGGAAGTGAAACGTCTTCAAACTTGGAAAACAAAGCCCAGTGTTTTTTTTTTTTTACTTTTTTGCAATGATTATGACGTGCTGCTGCTATTTCAGAAGATGATTTCTTTTTTTTTTTTAGGTCACCCAGAGGTCAACTGTGCATTAAGCTCTGAATGAACCAAAATTATCTAGCCTTCTTTTCAGTGCAGGTAAAACTGTCATTTGTGCCGATTTGATTTTTAAGATAGAATTATTTCTAATTACGGCTGATGACGTCACCATCCCCTGAATATATTAATGTTGCGCTTGTTTCCTGATATTAAAAGTGTAGTAGGAAATATTTTCTGACGCATCACAAAAGAAGGTCCGTTGTACACGATTGGTTCCTGACACGTCAATCAGGGTTGTCTGCTTCTCCCTCCCCCCTGTGCGCGTACCCTGAAACGAATCAACCCCAATGATCGTGCAGGCGCAAGGACCACATGAACATGAACTCAGTCACGTTACCTGGTTCAAAGCCATGTATGTTGTGCATCTTAACATTTTGTCAGATTAGCTCTATACAGTACAAATTGTGATTACCGTGTGTTTTTTGTTAGTTATGGCAATGCAGTTGGCCAGCAACTACCCAGCTCGACACCTACAAAGCAAAGACTTTTTAAGTGCCCCTCCACCTCCACCCCTATCTGCTATTCTGGCTTCACTCTCCGGCTCTGATAAGCAAGTACCGTATGTTCAAGTAAACATGGCTTTGATCATCAAAGCCCATGCTGTCAGTGTAATGCTTTAGCCACTGTTATGTTGTTGTTGTTAGATCGTGTCACCACCACTCGGTCACGGCTTGTTTTGTTCTCGATCTCGGAAACATCCCANAGGTTTCAGGTTCATTGTTTACACCCTGGGCCACATCCTCATATAGGAGGAGCTTCAGCTGCGTTAAGTTCACTTGGAAAAGTGACAATAAATAAATTCCATGGCGATATCATGTCAACTCCCGTCGCCTTGCAGGGGACCAAAACATTTTGCCTGGCCAGCCAGGCCAACAATGCCCCTAAGACTCCCCCCTTTCAGAGGCATAGACCAGTATCGCGTATTGCTGTCTAACAAAGACCTTAACGATTCCCCATTACTAAGGGGCGGACCCATTCTTCTTCTGGTTAAATCTGCATGTTTTCTAAGCCAAAACAAGGCTTTATTTGGTCCACTCTATAAAGCTTGGAACTCAACTCTATTTCTGACATTTTGAATTGAAAAAGCTTCCTGGATGGGAAGCAAAACATCTTCAAACTTGGAAAACAAAGTCCAGTGTTTTTTTTTTTTTACTTTTTTGGAATGATTATGACGTGCTGCTGCTGTTTCAGAAGATGATTTTTTTTTTTAGGTCACCCAGAGGTCAACTATCCCCCCCATTAAGCTCAGAATTGAATCAAAATTATCTAGCCTTCTTTTCAGTGCAGGTAAAACTGTTGTTTTTGCCGATTTGATTTTTAAGATAGAATTATTTTTAATTATGGTCCGATGACGTCACCATCCCCTGAATACATTAATGTTGCGCTTGTTTCCTGATATTAAAAGTGTAGTAGGAAATATTTTCTGACGCATTTTTAACAATGTAGCTTAAAGATCTCCCCACAGCCGCTTAACAAGCAGTGATATAGAAGGTCTGGAAGTGAGACGGAAAAAAAAAAGTCCCCGCAACAGTGTGAAATCAATGAGTAACGCCCTCCAATCACAAAAGACGGTCCATTGTACAGGATTGGTTCCTGACACGTCAATCAGGGCTGTCTGCTTCTCCCTCCCCCCTGTGCGCGTACCCTGAAACGAATCGACGCCCCAATGCTCGTGCAGGTGCGAGGACCGGTAACGTCACATGAACTCAGTCATGTTACCTTGTTCAAAGCCATGTATGTCGTGCATGTAAACATTTTGTCAGATTAGCTCTATACAGTACAAATTGTGATTACCGTGTGTTTTTTGTTAGTTATGGCAATGCAGTTGGCCAGCAACTGCCCAGCTCGACACCTACAAAGCAAGGACTTTTTAAGCGCCCCTCCACCTCCACCCCTGTCCGCTATTCTGGCTTCACTCTCTGGCTCTGATAAGTAAGTACCGTATGTTCAAGTAAACATGGCTTTGACCATCAAAGCCCATGCTGTCAATGCAAGGCTTTAGCCACTGTTATGTTGTTGTTGTTAGATCGTGTCACCACCACTCGGTCACGGCTTGTTTTGTTCTCGATCTCGGAAACATCCCAACACCTCGACAGAAAGCATGCGTGTTTATGTGTTTTGAAGGCGTTGTTTTGAGGGGTGGTCTGAAGAAAGAGGCATGGTTGTGTATGTTCAAAAATAAAGCTTGCTGGAACCATTTTTTCCAAGATCTCCTGCAGCACCTTTAAGGTAATTGCATAACATCTCCTGTTATTCCTGTGCTGGTAATGAATATAACAGTGGGCATTTATCTTATTAAGTGGCTGGAATGATTGTTTAACATTTAATCACCAGCCTCCCAGACCCTCTGCTTTGGACCCACCGTTACCCCTGGCAACCCTATGTCATTTCCTGTCAAGGTCTCGCTGTCTGTCGGCATTTTACAATAAAAGCACAGGTGAAACTTAACATCACGGACTAATGTTAAATTGTGCCTTATAAAAAAAAAACACGTTTCAATCGCCTTGGGGAGACCATCATACCCTCTTTCCACGTGTTACTGCTGTTTGACAACACATCAGCTGTATAGTAGAACGAGGTGAAGGAGGAGCATTGAACGCTCTCACCGCGGTGAATTCAACGCTGGCCGCAGTTTGTATAGGAATTCATTGTGAATCCAACGCATTTGCTACAGCTACCGCGTGTGGTCTGAACGCACCATAAGTCAGATGCTAAAGGAATTTAATTTAGAGTGTTTAATCCACACAGAACTCTGGTTTTCCAGCTGATTAATAACATGTAAACCATTAGGATTCTTCGTCTTAAAAGAATTGGACTTAATAGGAAATAGAATCGAAACAAGGAACTGGAACTAGAATTGTTCAAAATCAAACAATGACCAACCCTGGACTGCAGTGGCCCAATCTTCTCTGTTTTCAGATTAAATTCAATAATACTTCCCTAATCCCAATAATCAACTGATAAGGGCTCTGAGATGTTTGAGATATGATTACACAGCATAATCTAACCCTGCCTTAAACTTCTCTACAAACTTCTCCCTGATCTGTCAGCTGAGGCCCTTGCTCTTCATGATGTATTTATCTAATGTTCTCTAAACAGCATGAGGCCTTCACAGAACATCTGGCCTGATTAAAAACACACAGGTCTTATCTATAAACTCCATTTCTCCTGAAGGTTGCATTGATTGCAAACGAATGCAACACATTATATATTTGACGTTCTAAACAAAAAAAAATTTAAATTTAAAACCCTATTTCCTTTTCTTTCTACCTGATTATCATTTGTAATTTTGTGATAAAACTAAGATAAACCCCCCCAAAATAAATACATTAGGCTTTGTGGTTCGTCTTAAGTTCAAGAGGAATGATTACTTCTATAAGGCACTGCAGATCAGCTTGCTCCTACTGCTTTATGGGAAAATAATTCCTGTTTTTACCAGAACTGGTTTCAGTGTTTCTCCTATCAGTTCTCTATTTTGTCTCTACCATCTTCAAGCTCGTTTAAAAACAAAACAAAATGAGCTCAAGGACGGGGAGTAATTTGTTGGTGCAATGACTCCTAACAGTGCTTTCAATCTGTGAGCAGGTTCGACAGATGGCTGACAAAGTCCTCACACAATCTGCTGTGGAGTTCCTTACTCATCGCCAGCGTCTACAAGCGTCGTTATCAGAGGACTGGGACACCTGCCACTGCATCGCTATCACATCGTCACCAACACATTTACAGTGAGGGAACATCAGCTGCAATTGCCTTTAGTGATTTTCACCTCGAATATTTAAATATTTAGTTTACACATAATGCACGGCCATTAAAATGTGTAAAAGAGGAAGAGAAAGTTCAAGTTTAACCAATGAACTCTTACTGTTGCATCCTTAACTCTCTTTTTTTAAACTAGAATGTATGCAGAAAAGGTTGACTGTAAAATAATCATTAATGTTCTGATCCCCACTAAAAAGTCTGGTCCTTGCTGGTTTAGATGCTGTACCTTGATTAATGTGGCACAGACATTAAATCAAACTAAGCATGCATCAATATTAAGAAAGGGACTGAAAGAATTAAAGGAAAAAACAACCTTTTTCTATCAGTTTAGATGTTTCCTCGATTTTAACAAAAAAAGAGGGACAGTCAGATTGTGGTACACAGCTAATGAACTTACCATCTCGTCTCCAGGCAGCCAGTAGCCCTCCTGCTCGATGCCGGCCTTGGAGCCTTTGCAGCCGACAGTGAGGGTTTCCACCACCAGGCCGTCCTTCACCGCCAGGCTCAACTGTCTGGCGGTCTCCTTTGGATGCATCCCAAACACTCGGCTCAGGTATCTGCAAAGGAGACAGTGGAGATGCAGTTCAGGAAAAAGTTGTGTCGTTTTTCATTTCAACCTCGTTATATGTAGGAGGATATGTAACATTTTGTTAATCCCATAGAAAGAAGAAGCTGCTAAATATGTGGCAGGTAGCAATCAGATGGATTAAGAACATTAATATATAAAATGTTATTTAAGTTCTTAATAACTTCTTTTATGAGTCCCTGCTTGAAAAATAAACTTGAGTTTTCTCTTTTTCACTAAAAGTCTAACATATTGAGCTTCTTTCAGGAACTGGATCAAGCATTTATTGTATTATAACACCAATAAATTCATATTTTTCTCTCATTTATTAAACATAACCATAAAGTAAGAAGAAATAATATTTGAAACCTGGATAAAAAATGTCTCAATTAAAAATTCAGTTGAAATGTTATTTTGTTCCCATTCTTTGTTGCATTAGAGCAATGATATAATGATCACATGCAGTTACTGTGCACATTTTAGTAACACATATAAGTACATGGAGTCCTGACATAAGTACCTAAACACAACGGAAGTAATAAATACTGATTTTTATTATCATTATTCCAGCTGTAACACAGGTCCATATATCATCCCTACACCTAAAACCTTCGTTCTCAGAGCAGCAGTCTCTCGGATTCCTGCAGAGGTCTGCTGACTTATAGGAAGCCTCTCCAATAAGGTCATGGATCCTCCTCTGTGGCATTGAGCCAGCTAGCAGGTTGCCAGAGAAGGTCACCGTCTGTGTTCAGTCCTGAACAGCGTGAGAAAAGCCCACAGCATGCCTGCTGGGTGAACCCAGTTCAGGGAGGATTACTTCGACCACAGGTTTGAAAATCCTTGTTTTCCATTTGAGAGGTAAGCCCTCCTACTGAGGCGGATCCAACTTAGACCTTCAGAGACGTTGAAGGCCATGCTGCTACCTGAAAGTCAGTAACATACAACTGAATAAAGAGCTTCTACGTGGGTGTCCACGTTATATGCAATGTTGCTCTTGAAGTGTGCCATTAGTAGAGAGTGAGAACTATTTGACTCATAACCAGCAAAACATTGGCCATCAACATGTGTATCTCAAGTTTAACAAAATGTTTAGATGATTGACAACATTAGGGATGCACCAAAGCCCATACCAGTATCGGCATCTGGCCCGATACCACATGTTTGTACTCATAATTGTATCCGTAAATGTGCTCCGATATTACAGGACCGGATACTAGCATACCTTTCTCTTTAACAGAAAGCATTTAAATATTGCAAATACAATACTACAATCTACTATACATAGCTAAATCTACCATCTTTTTAAGTGCAATTATTTCACAATTTGCTGTTTAGCCAGATAGGAATTGATACACTATCTGTTACATTGATTTTAATGTACATAATCCTTTAAGTATAAATCTGTAATGATTCTTATATTTTGACATATTTTAATTAATATTAACACTGTGTTGCCTGAATTAATATACATGTATAGATAAAAACTGTTCCTGTTGTTATTAAATTAAGACTTGCACCAAAATAGAAAGATAGGAATACTGCTGCTTTGTTATATCGGTCCATAAAGTTCAGCTTCAGCCATAGTAGAAAAGGAATGCCCAAGGTTCCCAGGTCTGCACTCAATGCATGATAACTGGCACCAGGGGAACACGTTATCATGACAGGTCACGAAATACAGTTTGTTGCATATTTGCTATGATAGGCATCAAAGGGTTAAAAAAAAGAAAAAAAAAACAAAACATAATTGTAAGTTACTCTTTGGTTCCAGGTCCTGAAAATCTAGATGCAGGTATTACTCTTTAAGAAACAAACCAATTCTTATTTTCCTGGAAAAGAAGCTGAAGATTTTAATGATCGAATTTCAAATTAAATCAGCAATTTTAATGCTCCTTATGGAAACTGCTCCAAAGATCATTTCCGCTTTAATCACCTTTATTGCGCAAAGGAGGGTCTTTTTTTCACACCAGGCTGTAAATACTGATCCCCAGTAGAACAAGAAATAGAAATAAGAGCAGAGTCTGTCTTAATGAAAAAAAGAAAAACAAAGGGGAGCTAATGAAAGTCTACCTTTGTTTTTTCCTTTAATTTTGAGCTGATTGAAATAAGAAACAGGAATTATTCCACAAAGACAAACATCACTGAGCTATATGAAGGTGACCTAACCCATTTGATAATGAATAACTCATTTATTGATGTTGGCTGGTAACTCGGACCACGTAAAGCAGAGGAAGGTTAATCGTTCTCCGACCGCAGCCCCCTCGGTTCTGAACCGGAGTAATCATCCGTCACCTCCAGAGCCTCTAAGCTCCAGCACTGATATTAAGCTGCAGAGGGATGGACTGGGGTGTAGGCTGGGAGAGAGACAAAAAGAGAGCAGGCGCTATCCGTTGCATGCCGCTGCTTACTGTCACCATGACAACAGCCACTCTTTCCGCCAACATTCATCTGGCGAGCGGCCAGCTCCCAAGGTGCTCGCCAACTTGCTGAAAGTGTTTCATTTAGTCCGTGCTCCGTCTGCAGACTGATCAGCAGAGGTGTTTCTCTACCAATCTGAATGCTCAGCAATAAAACATCCTAATGATGAAGATTCACTTTGCTTCTGCTGATTTAAGGTGTGGCCTCTGCAAGGGGAGGGGGGATCTTTGCAGAGCAAAAACAAGCAACAGATTTGGTGAGTGGGGAAAAGATAATATTCAAAGCAAACAAAGCATTCAGGTGAAGCTTTTGAGATTGTTTGATGATGTGTAGATTTCGTTTTAATTCTTGTGCATGGTTTAGAAACCACCAGCAAATCAAGCTAAAACATCTATTGTAAACATCCTCAGAGCCACAAGACCGGCAGTCTCCTCTTTTCTGCACGGAGCAGCCATAACTGTCTCCTGCTCCACACAACACCATCTAACTACAGAAATGGCACAAGTGCTTCAGTGGCCGCCACTAACGAGAAGGTTTGCCAGTAATACATGCAGTCTTCCCCAGTGTAAATAAATAAAAAGTGTTGTTCATTTATAAGAAAGCCTGTGAACAAAGAATGTGAAATAAGATCGAACTGAGCTGGATATAATACAAAGATAGCCGTCAGCTCAGGCAGGAGGGCAAATCTAAAAGAAAACAACTTAAAGCTGAATTGAACTAATTACCACAAAACACTATTTTTCACCTAAATGTTAAAAATCCTACACACAATTAAATGTAGTTAATGGAAAACAGCAATAATCATTTTCCATAAATGCTTGATAAATTCAACAAACAATGTGTCAAACTTTGATAGAGCTTTCAGTAGCAGAGTTAGACTGATATTTTCTAAGGCAGGGGTAACCAATTGAAAATCAGCAGGGTCAGAATAAAGAAAATCAAAAGCCAGTAAAGGTCCAGAGACATTTATAATTATTATTATTATTTGTTATTTTAAAATCTAAAGTGTTTTTTTTTTAAGTAGAGAACAATCTTTCAGTTTGGTAGATAGACAATTTCCTGATTCACATCTTTTATAAAACACCTGAACTGACCTTTTATTTTATGTCTTTTCTCTGGTTTAATGAGAGCAGTGGGCTTTATGCTGCCCTGCAAGGCTTTAAACCTGGGTTTGAACGGAGACAAAGCTGTTTTAAAGCAAATATTGCGTGCTCATTCGTGAGCCTGGATCCATTTATTTTTTTATTTCTTTTTATTCTGTTCATGGTGGAGAATCCTGCTTCACAGCAGCAGGTTGAGCCAAACAAAATGTTCTCATAATGTGCAGGGTCTCCTTTGAGCACAACATTTCACTTTTCTTTCACCAGTTCACCGCAGTTCTTGCAGCACGCCACACTTTCCTTCACTTTTTCTCATCTTCTCATCGTTTCCCATCGACCGGCTTGCCACAGGTTTGCCTGCTGCGTCTAAAAGAAGCTAGCAGCAGTAGTCAAGACTGACAGGTCATTGGTTATTATGCATCACGTGTAACCTGGTCCCTGAGGGCTTTACCGTACCAACAGGAGAAGAGGCGCAAGTGAAGTTAGACACTGCCGTCAAACAACATGCGGTAATTTATAAATGTTTTAAATCAGGTTGGATCCAGATTGGCGCGCAGGTGGGTCTGGATCCGGACTGCGGTCCGCTAATCCGTGACCTCTGTTGTAATTCTTTAAATTGTTTCTGCATTGGCGGATTCATTAGTGCATTTAGCAGTCGTGCTTTGAGTTCACATGAAGAGCATGCAGGTCCGCTCCCCGGTGTTAATGTTTGGTTTGGTGATCATTTTTTTCTGTTTTTGTCAAACTGAGACTTCTGTCACTTCAAGATTTTTTCTCCCACACCGTTTACATTTGATCATTGCTGCACTTTATGGAATAGAGATGTTTATTTTTTCGTCTGATAAGCTGTACTAAACGATATTCTGTTATGTATGCACTCTGTGTAAACAAAATGATATAAGTTGTCCAAGTCTAAAATGTCAAAAATAATCGGTTTTAAAAATGGCTTTAACCTCACAAACCACAATTTAAAGCATTTACATCTAATAAAAATGTAAAATAAATAAACTGTAAAATAAAATGTTTACCAATATAGAAATGTTAGACATCGTTGGAAAGCTTAGATTTTCCAGAATTTAATCACTAGGTTAATTTTATGGACACAGCGAGAACCAAAGCATGATTAACACAGATATAGCAGCATGTCAAAATGCAAACATGAAAACAACAAGCAAGCATGTCTTTATTACTGCTGTTCAAAAAAGATCTATCACTTTACAGAATAAAAAAACTCTAAGTCATGTTTGAACTGATGCAGCTTGGTCTGTGTTCTACTCACCCAATTTTAATGTATATATTCAGAAACTAGGTGTTACCTTTCAAATAATGTATCACACATGTAATCTGGGCTTACAGTTCCTAAGGTTTTCCATTTGGGTATGCAAAATAGGCGAATTTCCCAAAAGGAGGTGGATGTCAAAATTTGGATCGGTTGATCTCTATTTATTAGTTTTAAGAAAAAAGAAAAGACTACAGCAACTTTGTTGTCATTTTATTTTTTCCCCTCAGGCAGAAGTGGCAAAACAAATAAAGAGAAGGTATTTATCAATATTTGGGACAATACCAAATGTCAATAAAGCTGTTCTGCCAATTAACCATCATTTACTGTTTGTGTCTTTTTGGTTGCTCCCTTAATTAGGGGTCACCACAGCAAATATTAACGACTGGCTCAAAGACTTGGCAAAGGTTTTATGTTGGAGACCCTTCCTGATGCCACGGAGATTTAAGCCCAGGTTCCCAACATTACCGTGAAAGCCTCTGTATTCCAAAACCATCATCACCATGTCCGAACCCCATATCAACAGCCCAGCTCTTTTATAGTTGGTTTTCATTTTTTAAACTGTTTTAAATGTTGTTAATAGTTACCTCTGTAAAAGCCAAGCAACCTCTACACAAAGAAGACTCAAGGCACACCATGTTTCAGGGACCTTAACTACTTTCTGTGGTTTTTTAAATGTCTTAACTACGGGTTCTTGACACTTGAACTTACTTGGAGATCCTGTCCATGTTTGCGATTTGTTTCTGGTTACGTATGACTTCGATGGCCTCCCACACGAACTGGACCACCTTCGGATCCGCCTGTCGCTTCCTCACCACACGGGACATGATTTCCTTATTCATCACAGCTGCACAAAACGAGAGAGAGCAAATAATCAGCTCATTGATTGGCACTTTGAGGTTTGAAAACAACATTTTAATATTAAGAAGGCAACAATTTAATCATTTAGTTATGGAATAAAAATTACGATTCAAAGACTATTTTTTTCATGCACAATTCAGCTGAGATAAAGTTTAAGATTATTTTTTTTTTATTCTTTATTTCGAACATGCAAGAGAAAAACAAAAAAAACAATAAAACAATGTTTAAAAACATTGGAGAGAAAAACAACAAACAAGGTACCCTTCTTTCCTAAATTAATATACCTCTATTACATGTGCGAAAAGGAGTAGGAAGAAGTAAAACTTATGTATTCCTACCCCTTTAATTCTTGTATTTCTTTAATTTACAATATTTATAAATATGTTGCTATATATATCCATATAAATACATACCTACCTACACATATACATACATAAATATGTATACGCATATACCGTCATACATATATACAAATTAACAAAACAAAAAACACAAACCAAACTTTCTACAATGCTTCTCTATACCTTTTGAAAATAATTTCTTAATTGAATCAGAATTTGTCAATCATCACTGTATTGCTCATATGTCTGAATTAAAATTGAACATTTTACAGCTTTTTCTGCTTCTTCTACATTTTCATTTAGTAAAGGAGGTCAAATTAAATGATAACTGATTTGTAGAGAATAGGGTCTCCTGTGTTTTAATTTGCTTTTTTTTTATAAAGAAAAACATCCAAGCAAGGCTGGATTTTTCAAAAACTATGTAGTGAAAAAAAGTGTTCTGATGAAACTATAGCTGCTTTCACACTGAAAACCCGTGGTTGACCCGCTAACAATCGGGTTTTGGCTCTTTGCCCATTTAATCGAAAAGCCGAGTCTGACCCCCCCTTGCTGGCAAGCTGCGTAGCCACTGTTCCCCACCACTGCGTGTCTGATGACGGCATTGCGCCGGGTTCGGTGTGTAAATAATCTGTGAAGTAAATAATGGAGAGCAATATGGACGGGAGCAAGAGCATAGCCAGTATTCTTTATTATTATTTTGCTCTGTTGTCCGTCCTCAGAATACTAAATGTAAACAAATCTCCTCTTCTCCACGGATCATAAGGATCTCACAAACCTCACTATGTTGCCAGTGCATTGCCATGTCACTCGAATACAAGCAGAGTTGTTTGGGCTTGTTATTTAACAGGCGACCGGCACAATGTTGTGACGCAAGTATGTTGCGTTCAAAGGTGTCACGTAATTTAGCGCGCCAACCCAGGTGTGGCGCTCCCACAGCACGCTGATCAGAGCCGAATCGATTTTACCATGGGTCACTTTCCAAGTCATTTGACCCGAGTAGACACGGGTCAGCGAGCTGTTCCCACTGCCACTGAATGCCAATTTTTCCGGGTTTTAAGAGGCTTTTTGGCCAGTGGGAAAAATGTATAAGGTAGAATTTCTAGCACATAATTGCCAAAGAAGCGTCTTTATTAAGCGTCTTAACACGAAACACCATATCAGCGAAGCAGCGCTAAAACAATTAAATTGATTATTGAAATACTGTAAAGTAGTTTATTAATTGATATATCATTAACTGGATTATACAGCAGTTATCATACCAACATTGTAAAAAAGAAAATTAATATTTAGCATTTAAGATAAAAAAAAATGCTTTTTTGTTTGTCAAGATGCTCTATCCAGAACGTATCAAGTAGGAAAGTTTTAGTTTCACATTGTTTATTCTGTAAAAAAAAAAAAAAAAAAAGAAGGAACCTAAGGAACCTTTCACTATCTGATTATGAATCAATTCATTGAAAAAATGATCGTCAAACCTAATCAATTAGTTAAATAATCGTTAGTTGCAACCCTACAACAAAGCATAGCAGTGTCTCGTTTTTCTTTGTTTTACTGGAACGAGGATCTTTAGTTGTGGTGGTGGTGGGGGTTTATGAACAGCATTAAATATCAGTAAGTGTTCACACAAAACGTTCAGGCTTCTGCTAGAAAGAGGAACTTCCTCTTTGAGTACAACGACAATCATAGCAACACCAGAAAAAGATTACAGGTCTGAAAAAGGCTCCGACCAGAAACCAGAGGAAGATCTACGGGTTGATCTGAGGAGAAATAGGGCATGAGAGATGTCCTCAGACTCATTTATTGTACTATTGCAAAGAAGGTGAGAAAACACCAACTAGATGTGCCACCCTGATAGAAACCAGACCCAAAGAGACTGAAAACTGTTAGATAAACCAAGGATGCTTCTACATACACAACATGAGCTCAGTAGTATAGTTCACTCTATTTTTCCCTACGAAACATTTGTGGTGTTTCTCAAATAAGCTGTAGAGGTTATATTTACAACATGGCTAAAAAATATACATCTGAAATAATTTATTTGGTTTCATCTTATTTCCATATTGTAAGCCAAACACTTAACGTAATGCAGTCAAATTTAGACTATGTGCAAAGATAAGTTTTTTTTTAAAGCAGAGACATTCCCAATATCAAACTGATTTTCCTCAGTAGGCGGCCACCAAAACAAATATGTTATTTAAAACAGCTTAAAACATAAAAGAGAGTGCTTATAAAGGAGAAAAAACGTTGAAAAGGTTCTGAAATGAACTTCCTTCCTGTGCTACAGAGGGCTGACCAAACCCAATAACTTAAGAAATTCAAATCCAATTTCATGCAGCTCTCCTCTAAACCATCCATGAAACCTAAGATGTCACTTCCATAAACCTCAGCCACAAGCTGAACACAAAAATAGTTAAAGCGCTCGCATACACTGAAGAGCGGGGAGCTTAAGATGTGGAGCTGTATTACAGTGAAGGAAGCATTGACAGATGTCAACAGGGATGTACGTCTTCACACTTCTGTCATGGAGGCACAAACTCTGGCTTAGAGTGAGAAGAAAAATAACATCTAAAATTAGAAGAAAATAAGCCAGTGGGTTGAAGTGCGACTTACTAAAGGGGTTGAAGTTTAAAGCATAACCAGGAAAATTTCAAAATTTCAATATCTAAAGCATTTATTCCTAAAGTTTGGTTGGTTCATCTAACGATTTGTGTTCAGATCATATTGGGCCAATATCAGTGTTAATAAGTTCTCAAAGCTGCAATATCGATATCCTATTGAAAATGAAAAATTTGCATCAGGGGATCACTACTAATAAGTTATTTTTGGCATAATTACTACAATAGAAAACAACAGTGGCAATAATTAGCTTAAATTAAATCTGCATTCATCGCTTTTTGTTTAAATCATTTGCATTTTTTAATCAATGTATTTTAATGGCATTCTTAATATTTGTGTTTTTCTTCCGTATTCTTACTTATAGGTACAGTCTCCTCGCATTTCTTGAAAGGCACTTTAGATAAATAAAAAATGCATAATCATAACTTTTACATTTAGAAACTGGTGGACAAATTGCTCAAATCTAGTTTGGCTAATCATTCCGTTATTTGAAAAACTTAAAAACGCAGATTGACATTGATTGACAGAACAAAGATGTGAAATCTCCTTATATACATAATTAGGGATGTTCCGATCAGATATTTATATTGGAAATCAGTCTGATAACACCAAGAAATTTGATGTAACATAAAAGCTGGGATATAAAATCTCCACAATAAGCATGCTAATAGATACTCGTATCTGCTTCTGTTTAAAGTTTATGTTACTCATCAGCTAATGGGTCAGTTGTTCTCATGCCGATTGCTGCTTACCATAGTTCTCTGTTTTCTAACATTCAACTCTACAAAATACAAACGAGGGAAAAAAATACAAATATATGTATGATTCTTCTGGTATTTTGTGAAGTCAATATTGATATGACTCATTCTTGTATATCAGTATTGCATGGGAAATAAAACCGGACATCCCTAGAGACAAACTGTTTCTAGAGGACTGGACAAACAAAACAAAACAAAACTCAATAAACTATAAAATTTGACAGAGATAGTTTTACAGCTAAGCGGCTTATTAAAAAATAAATTATTCTGAAGTCGTAGGGAAGCGGCTGTTCCAACCGTTGCTTTTCCGAATTCTCCTGAGTGGTGCCCGACTTTACAGGAATGAATAAAGTGAATGTGATTGGTCGTTTATCAAGAGGCAGGACTGTTGTGGCGGAAGGTTCGCAAGCAACTTTGATTGTGGCCAGTTTTTCGGAAGCATCTTGCTAAC